ATAAGCACATTTTATATAAATCGAAATAAAATTCTTCTCATATGTTTATCTCGTATTTTATAAATTATTATTAAAAATCAGCTTATAAACTGCTTATAAACTGTTTGAAATGAGTCATAAGTTTTTAAAGTGTTGAGTGTTAGAAATACTTTTACATGAACCAAAGCAAGACTCAATTATTTTGTCTCGAAAGACCAACCTAAACACCCGTGATCAAATTAGAGTGCATGTCAAACTGTGAATGAGAAATGCACGGGCGCGCGTGTTAAGTGTGAAAGAACGAACATGGCTGAGCTGGCAACTTGGTCAAAAATTCGCCAAAATTATCAAAATATTGGCATAATAATATGTGGTTTTTAAAAACACATTCAAGTCCATATTTAACAACCGTCGTTCTCCTTTCTTCTTCTTTTTTTCCTCCTCAGACGGAAAAAAATAGAGCTCTGAATTCTGAAACTAGCTAGAGTCGTGTATGGCAACGTTGTGTCTTGTGAGCTAGCGGCCCTCAGGCCAAATATAGCAAAGAAAAAACTTTTTCCGATAAAACGAAGGAAATATGAAAAGAAGTTAGCACTTGAATGCAACCCTTCAAGTGGATTCTTTAATGTTCTTTTGTTTGTTTGTGTGAGACTTGACACTTGAGGGCCAAACTGAGGTTTTGTTGACCATGCAGTTAATAATAATTATTAATTTTTGACTTGTATATATATATACTCCTTCCGTTTCTTATTATAAGAGACATTTGATGCTTATGGCATGTTCCTATATATAAGAGACACTTAAAAGTTGTCTCTACTTTTTTGTGTTGATTTCCTATTTTACACATATTTATTGTCTCCAACTCACACTCTCTCTCCCTCCCACTTCTCTTTCTTTCAATAATTTAATTGTTCTCTCTCATACTCTCTCTCCTTATTAATGAGGGCATTTTTGGAAAAAAATTATATTTTTTACACATTGATTGTTCTTAACTAATTTTAACTGCTTTTTTTATCAACGTAATTCGGTTATTCGTCTCTTATAATAAGGAACGGAGGGAGTATATATCTATATAATGTTAGTGACTTCATTATGCATGACATTATTACTATCTTATAAACATAATATTGATGATGTTACTCATAGCATACAAGCATGACGGATGAAATGGATCGAGGAAGGCATCATGAGTATTTTTGTGATCATAATGTGCAGATAAATTTTGATTTTAGTTCCCATATTCTTAATGAATTTTAGTTTTGGCCTCTATGCTTAACGGTATTGATTAACATTTAATGTTGTTAAATTCTTATGAAACCATAAATACCAAAAATCACAGTTAGAAGTAGCAAAGACTAAAATCTCGATTCCATCAAATAGTAAGGATAACCTGAAATTCCACTTTATTCTTATATATAAGTCACTTAGAGAAAAAAAATTTTGTTCCTAAACACTCATCCGGTCCTTAATATAGGACTCAATTCTTGAGTTGATTTTGATCCTAAATATAAGACCCATTTATTATATTTATCAATTTTTTCTAAATTACCCCTATAGATACTCCCTCAACCATAATCAAATAGAAGAGGGAGATGAGGTATTAAAAAAGATGATTATGGTGTTTTAGAAAAAATGTGTCACTTTTCTTATAATTAACTAATTTACCTTAACTTCCTTAATTTAATCAGATTAGTTAAATGGGTCTTACATTAAGGATTAGAGGAGTACTATCTCTGGTCCTAATTATAAGACTCCGCTTATAGTTTATAAACGAGGTCTTATAATTAGGACAATGGGTAGTTTGAGTTATTTGTAGGATGATTTTTTTTTAATTTACTCCTATTGAATATCATAAAAATGTGTTAGGAAAAATGTACAGTATATTTTTTAGTATTATTTCTTTAATAGGGGAAAATATGACAACTTTTATCAGTTTGAGGCATTGCTTAACACGTGAGAATCGGTAAAAGGTATTTACATATAAAAACATAGTGATAATTAAATAAATAAATAACTGTTAAGAGACGCAGGAGCGGTAATAGAAATGAAAGGAAGGTGAGGTAGGTAAGGTTGTTGAGCATTTAATTGCTTCTATACGTAGAGAGCATCTTCCCTTTTCTCGAGGATATTATCCCTTAGAATAAATACATTATTATACTAACATTTAATTAAGCCATAAAAAAACGATACTCCTTCAGCTTTATTTATAGGATAGACAAAATATTTTTTGATCTTATTTATAAGGTATTAAGAAATTTTTTTTATAGGGATATATAATTTTACTTCTTATTTATTATTGTGTTAATTTTGTTTATATAATGTATAATGTATATTAAATAAAAATAAAATTAAAAAGTTATTGAATTTTAAATGAGAGTTAGTAAAGTTTAAATTTTTTTATGAAACATATTAAAAATAACTTAGAAACATGTATGCTTCGGGAGGGCGGGAAGAGAGGGTTGTCACCGACATAACATTGTAATTGCATTACAATATAAATGGCACGAGATTTACCGAATGTTGAATAAGTTTGCTAGAAAACAGTTAGGGAAGCAGAAAATTTTTTTTCAAAAAAAATTATTTGTAAACATTTAAATTCAAAGTACGCATTCTCCATAATGACAATATAAAAGATAAGAAAAAGTCTCCAAATGAAAACATTATTAATGAAAAGGACTTGATAAATATTTATAAACAGGAAATAAATTAAAATTTATAAATAACCAAATCCAAGGCAAATTTTGAATAGTGCATCCACGTCGCTGCAGGACAGACACTGCTCGAGGGAGTTCCTCTTCTCCGGTCGCGTTTTAAAAGTTGATCGAACACGAGACCATAACTATTTCGTAATCATTAAGTGAGCAAGTATATCATGAATTATTTGACCAAATTTTCCTGTCCATGCCAAATTACTCATGGACTTCTTTTTATCGGGTATTTTTAACATATTTTACAAAAATTATAAAAATTTTAAATTTTTGTTAATTTTTTTAAATATAACAACTTCTAAATTTTATTACTCTTTAATATATATGACTTTAAAAAAATATATAAATTAATAAATATATGATAAAATAGTAAGTTGATATAAAAAGTTTAACGAGATAATTTGTAAATAGAATAAAAAAAATTCTCTCTTTATAAATAAAACAAGTGCCTTCGCTATTTCCAGTCTATCAAACAAAAAAAAAAAATCCACTGCCTTGGATCTCATATGTGTGTGTGTGTGTGACATCTTTTTAAAGAGACATTCTTAATCATTTTATAACGTATATGATGGTTTCAAAGATCATTGAATATTTTTTTTCATATGTTTTCATATTTAATAAGAGCAATGAAAAAATATAAATTAATACGTTATTGAAATTTAATATAGTTAATAGAGATTAATATTTAAAATCAACTAAATTTATGAAGTGTATAATTCTCAATATTCACGCAAATTGAACATTATTTTTGCGGTATATTATGAATTAAAACATTGTGTTTCCAATAAATTAAGCCAAATTTAAAGGCGCCGGATTATGGATAAATCAGTATTATTAATATTAACATCAGTAATTTCACAGTCTTAGTGGTCATTTTTATTCCTTTGATTACTTTGTCAGAAGTTCATGGATGATGGGAAAAAAATTACGCCCCTAAAAATTAATGAAGTATATACTGTTTCTATTAAAATAAAACTAGTTCACGGTTTAATTTAATTTTAAATATCAGATTTAGTATATTTTATTGTTTATATTTATCATTTATTTTTTGCACATCAAATGACCCTGGCTCATCATGATTTATGGAGGATAAGGACAGGATCCAAAAATTACGGAATGAGCCGTAGGTGAATTAAGAGTTGGAGACTAATCTACACTAAATCAAAAGTTAGAGAGAGACTGAGACTGACTGACGAGATTAGGTTTAGTAGAAACGGTTAATTTCTTGTAACGTGATAAATTAAAGTTTAAATTTTTACTGAGAAAAGTGTTTATATTTAATGTCTGATAGTGTCTAAAGTAAGATTGTATTCAATAAAAGGATTTTTTTTACTAAAAAAGGTAAAGACTGAATTATAAGTCAATAATTTTTCTGAAAATTTATAGATTTTAAAAAATATTTCGTCCTTTTCTGCGAATAAAAATGTGGGGCCGCCGTGCAGGCTGCGACCATTTAATTTGAAAGCTACAGTAGTGAGGCCGTCCTGGATGTTAGGAAGGGCACAGCTCCCGCATTTATGTTCATCTCAATTTTTTCAACTTTCCTTTTATACCCCTCTCTTTTTCTTTGGGTCCACCCCACTCGCAAGATGCGAGGACATGTGTACATCTCTTCATCATTTATGACAAAAAATATATATTCATTTTATTTTGTATTATATAGACGTTTTTTGGGTCATACATCGTGTAAATTTGAAAAATGAGTTGTATTCTTATGACCTGTCAACGAACGTTGGCAAAAAATAAAGAAAGAACTGTATATGAAATAAATTTTTATGCATTTTATTTTATATAAATGTGAGATATTAATTACATCTGGGCTTTTGCATTTTTTAAATTTGTCAGGATTAGTGGATTAGCCACGATTCATGAATGATATCCTCATTCTGTTTTTATAAAAATATCACAAAAATATATTTTATGCAGACGTGGAAAATTATTAAACAATTTAATTTTTTGTAAAACCATACAATACAATCTTATATATAATTTCTAAAATGCCCCTAATTTTCTTCAAATTTACATTATTTTGACCATTACAAAACAGAATAACACTGATTATGAAATAGGAAAAAGAAATTTTTTGTGACACTTTTTGTTTTGCCATGAAGTTTTTTTTGTGACATTTATTATGAGACGGCAGGAGCACTTGTTATAAATTTTATTGCATGGATGAAACCAATCAACCCTGCAGAGTATATTATATATTACCACGTGATAATAAGATTCACCTACTTGCAAAGACTAAAGAGGGCCTTTCTTTGAAAAATGAGCCTGTTAATGAATGCCAATTAAAATATTTTGGCGTGAACGATGGGTAAACTTCAATAAATACAGGTTTTTACGTTGGCAAAAGAAAAAAAGGACAGGTTTTTAGATTTATATACTGCTTCCGATCCTAATTATAAGACTCTCTTTGTAGGTTATAAACAAAATTTTATAATTATGAAAAGAAGTAATATTTAATTAGGTTGAAAAGTGAAAGGCTGGCTCTTGCATGTAATGCGAGCAATAAGGGTGGGACTGAATGAACAGTGACAGAAGCCGAAGGAAGAAGGAGCTGGCAGTAAGTAGCAATAACAGTTAAATATTTTTGAAATTAAAATGATATTTATTTTATATATAAATTAAACCCGAGAGCGAGATATATATAAATAAGCCAACATGGTCCCAAAATTACCCCATACAGAACTGAAACCCTCTCTCAAACAGTGGAAGCTCAGTTTGAGGAAGAAGATGAAGGGAGGAGACGGGAGTGGGTACAAGAAGGGCTGTGGACGGAGGAAGAAGACAGAGTTTTGATGGAATACATTAGGGTTCATGGAAGACGCCACTGGAACCGCATTTCCAAAGTCACTGGTATTATTCATATGTATAGATTCTGCAGAGACTTTCATACCATATATAGATATATATATATCTCAGTAAGATATTTATACATAAATACATATACACACACACACATATATATATATATATATGTGATAACGATGATGATGATGATGATAGGTTTAATGAGGAGTGGGAAGAGCTGCAGATTAAGGTGGCTGAACTATCTCAGCCCAAACGTCAAACATGGAAGTTTCTCTGAAGAAGAAGACGATCTCATCATTCGCCTTCACAATCTCCTTGGAAACAGGTCTTCTTCTTCTTTTACTTTATTGTTAACTCTTCCTTCAGCTTTCTGGGACAACAAATTTCTCTATCCACATTTTTCGATTCATTTAGAGGTCTCTTGGACCATTTTAAAGGCAACATGACAGTTGATTTTGTTGCATCATCAGTGTGATAGAAGAATGGTCGTCGTTTGATTTTGATGATATGGATTTGTGTGAGTTATAGTTAATTAAACATAGATATATATGGAATATATTTTTCTGTTAAATTAAAATCTAGTATTTTGTTTGACATATTAAGTTACTTCTAAGAAAGTAAGCTGAGGTTGATGAGCTCTCTCTGGCTAGTAATAGTATATGATTCTGGTAAAGTACTGAACAGTTCCAAGCCTGAACACAACAATAGGTTTTAGATTTAGGGAGTATTTGAATAGAAATAAAACTATAGTTTTAAAAGTATTTTGGTATACGAAGTAAATTTGTAGAGTAATTTGTCTCGATTTACAGAAAATTGCATTTTAAAATAATTTTGAAAAGTCAGAAACAGTGAAATTAATGGTCCTTTCATTAAAAGGCAACCTAATAAAGTGGTCCACGGTGTTCATAAAACAAGCACAATGCGCGAAAATCAACGTAAAACGACATTACACTTACAATTCAGAATAGGACTAATAGTCTAATAGTGAATGGATACTTTTTTTTTTTTAAAAAAAAGAAGTAGAAGATTTTTTTGGTTATATGATTCAATTATCATTTGTATTTTCAGGTATGATGTTTACTTGAATGATACTCCTCCGGTCCTAATTATAAGACCCGATTGACTTATTTGAGGAGATTAAGGAAGTAAGTTAAGTTGGTTATTTATAATAAATAAGTGTTGTCATTCATAAAATATCCTTACTAATTAAGTATATTGGCTAAAACTATCATTATTAGAAGGATTATCTTGGAAAAAAATGCATAAATATAAGAGACAAAATGGATTGGGTCTTATAATTAGGACCAAATAAAAAGTCAAATTGGGTCTTATAATAAGGACCGGAAGAGTAATATATTCCGTTTAAATGGATTTTGAATCGGCAGATTTGATCGTGTCCTTTAAACATCTTGGATCTTTGATTCTTCGTACCCCAAGAACCTCAGAAGTATAAAAAAGTTAGATTATCTTTGACTGAATGAAACTTTCAAACTTGCCTCTTCTTACTCACTTTTCTCCAACAGGAAATTTTTTGAAATTTATATCAAACGGTGCTTCTTGTACTAATTTTACTTTACTATATGTGCATCTTAAAAAGCTACCAATAATTGGCCTTCTCTCTTGCCACATCTTAACTACAAACAATCTCAGTCGTTTTGGTCAACTATACATATATGCAGGTGGTCTCTAATTGCAGGCAGGGTACCTGGAAGAACAGACAACCAAGTAAAAAATCATTGGAACACTCATTTGTGCAAGAAACTTGGTATCACTAGGCCGACAAAAAAACCCATTAAGGACAAAGTATCTTTTGAACCTAAGGCTTCACAGTCAAAAGAGACCCAAAATGTTCACATATCTTCCAATTCTATGCCTATTATTCCTCTCACTCTCAATAATAAATCCAAAGAAACTGAGATAAAAGAGCAAGGAAGCTATGTCAACAACCATCCCATGGCAAGTATCGAAGAAGCACAACATTATTGGCTACCTGCAGAAAATGATCACTTTGACCAAACTTTTATGTTTGGTCATGATCATACTTTTGTCCTACATAGTCCTCCTAGCTTGATGGAATTCTTTGATGAATTCGATATAATTTAGCGTGTACTAAATTGAACGGTTGGATTTGATAAATAATGAATAGATATATCGATTTTGATTGTCTTTAATTTTTTTAAAAAATTCCACGGGCAGATCATGTGTGTGTGAGAGAGAATATATATGACGAGTTTTTATAAAATATATTCTTCCGATCCTAAATATAAGACTCTTATACACACTATGACCGGAGGAGTATTAAGATGCATAAATTTAATTTAATTATATATAAAGGAGAGATCAATTACATCAATATTTAAGATTTGATGTTGTTATGTTTCTTAATACTATCTCTGATCCTTAATATAAGACCCTATTTAATTTTTATTCTGGTCCTAAATATAAGACCCCATTCCATTTTGTCTCTCATATTTATACATTCTTTTCCAAAATAGCCCTTCTAACAATGATAATTCTAATCAATACACTTGATTAGTAAGGATATTTGAGGAAAGACAACACCTATTTACGACAAATGACTAATGCAACTTACTTTCTTAATCTTCTCAAATTAGTTAACTGGTTTTTATAATTAGGACTGGAAGTAGTAATATACATAAATCATTAGATTAATTAAGGAGACGTAAAAACACGCAATGCTTGGCAGTATAGCAAGTTACGATGAGCCAAGACAGCATATCCACAAAAATAGAGTTTTTTGGGAAGTTTCTTCCCTGTTAACTTCGCCCTGCCTGGCTCATCCAATTCAAGTACATTTTTGTATTCGATTCATTTATTTTCTCTGGCCACTATATACGACTCACTGTAATGTTAACTGATGTCATACGCAAATTTCCAAAGATTCGAATAATATCTTTTAGGCAATAGAACTTTTCCAGCAATCAAAACCCAGTATCAATTCGCCGGCAAAAAAAAAAAAAAGAAACCAGTCTCAGTTATTGCTCTCCTCCGATTCTCAAAATTCAAGCTAGTCAATTAATATTTACTTTATACTAAATATGAAACCTCAATCTAAGTTATCAAATTTATAAACTTTTTTCTCTTAGACTATTGATTATACATATAAAAAGAGATCTTTATAAATGAGTTGGATAGTATGATTAAATAGAGAAGATATTTTAAATAAACTAACCCACATTTTCTTACAAATAATTAACTTAAAAACTAACACATATCTTATAAATAATTAATCTAATTAAGTAATTTTTTAATATCTGTGGATTAATTATTTAACTCATATATATATATATATATATATATAGAAACGACTAAATCTATTATTGGAGTACTAATAAAAAACCAAACAAAGGAACAAAATTGTGAACAAGTAACCACGTTAATACCCTCCACCTGCAGCAATTGACAATCGTATTGTGATCTTTATAAATTTATACAAGTTCTCATAAGTTGGATATATATATCGCAGGTTCATCATCAGAATCAGATTAGATTCCATGAATGAAAAAGGACAAAAAAGAAGAAGAAGAAATTTCATAGATTACCTACCAATAATGCAGTTGTTTATATAATTTAAATTAGCATCTTTTTGGCTTACAGGGCTAATCCTTACCAAATGAATTTTCACTGATCACACAAATATTCTAGTCCATGATTAAGTATATCGTTGCGGCACTTTAGATGAATATAAATAGTTATTGACGTTGCTGTAAAAAGCCAAGCAAAGAAAGTTGCCGTTGAAAGTCTACTTTCAACAGCGACACTAAAAAATTATTGTTGAAAGTATACCTTTCAACAGTTAAAAAAAAACCCGCAAAAAATAGATTTTTAGTAGCGACAAAAAAAATCACCGTAGAAAGTAGACTTTTAGTGGCAACACTAATAATCGCCGCTAAAAGTATACCTTTCAGCGATGAAAAAAAATCTCAAAAAGTAGAAAAAGTACACTTTTAGCGGCGGCATTAAAAAGTTGCCACTAAAAGTATACCTTTCAGCAGTAAAAAAACCCCGTAAAAAGTAGACTTTTAATGGTGAATTTTTTTGTCACTGTCAAAACTCAAAAGTCATCGCCTAAAATTTATTTTTTTGTAGTGTTAGTTGCATTATTGGACTGATGGGAATGGTAAAGCAGGGAGCACGATGAGGAGGGAAAGGCGAAGATTGGAGCCGCTTGTTTGGCCATATCCGTATTTAGCCTGTCTGTCTCTGTTTTTCTATTCTCACGTGATTCACTGCTTCTCTGCCCCACCCGACTCCTTCCCTAATTACTCACGAATTATGAGTTAAAAAAAATAAATACTAACAAATTAAAAATTTAATTTCTTTTCCTAAATTTTACTTGAAAATCTCACCACTCGACTTATAAATATAAAAGTTTTGATTTGGTTCGGATGCTTGCCATAAATGCGCTTCTATTCCTGAAAATCTTATGCATGCATGTGCTAAGAGAGTGTAGTTTGTGGAAACTTTTAGGTGGCGTTTAGTATGAAATATTGAAAATAAATTATAAAGATTGGGATTGAGATTAAGAAAATATCATTTAGCATGAGAAATTACTTATTACATGGAATTGCACAAAAATCCCATATACATAGGTTTGTGTAATCCCATATAACAAGTAATTACTTATACCAAAGACTTTTTTTTTATGACTTTTTCAATTGCAATTTCAGTATCTATCCATCATTTTTAATGCTTCGTACTAAACAGGACCTTGGTGTAAAGAGAAGGGGGAGAGTGACTTGTACATTTTGGCAGGGAAGGAATGGTTGATTTGGAATATTTGTAAAAGAGAAAAATGGGCCATTATATGGAGGAATAAGAGTTTATTTGAAGACGGTTTTGTCTTTCCTATAGTGAGCCATCGTTGAACGCTATGTGAACGAAGTAATCTTAGTGCATGATAAATTTGCGGTTTTGAAACCTCAGAAGCAGGTGGTGAATGTGAAGTGGAGAAGCCCAGAGGATGGTTGGTTGAAACTAAATGGGATTTGTTCGAAGGCAGATATTTGGGGTGTAATAACTGGTTTTTAGATCGCAATGACACTGAACATAAGCCATTTGATAGTTGAAATGTGACTCTAGCTCCGTTGCAAACTTGTTGCGTAGAGTTTATGAGGGAGTACAATTGGAGTCGAGTTTGCACAAAATTACTGTTGAATTGTATAAATTTGTCGAGATTAGATTCCTTCATGTGTATAGGGAAGGAAATTCAAGTGCTGACTGTTTGGCAAATTATAGTTTTAATGACGAGGAGGTGATAAGTCTTTTTGAAGAACCTCCTAGGAGAGTTAGAGGACGCTTGTATAATTGATTTTGTGGGTACTAGCCTCCCGCGTACAGTGATGAAATAATACTTGGTTGTTGGCCCCGTACTATTCACTAAAAAATATCTAAAATTTTGATTTAAAAATATAAATTATAAAATTTGAGTTATAAATGATATAATTTAGAAAAAAATTGTAAAAAAAGACCTAAAAATTGTGAAATTGCAAATGATATATTCAGTAAATACTCTGTAAGAGAAGTCTCATAAAGGTGTTACGTGGCCCAATGGGCCTGTCAAAAAGTAAAACTCTGTCGTGAAGGTGCCATGCTTATTAACAGCACGTTATAGGCCCAAGGCCCAGTTATACTAAGTTCGCTTAAATGTATGGATCGGGGGAAAGAAACAAGTCAACCTGGAAGAATTGAAGTTGTAACAACAACACAAAAAAGAAGAAAGAATTGAACTTTTGTTTTTGGGACTCAAAATGAATTGAGGTTAGACAGAGTCTAAAACCCAACTTTCGACCTAATCACAAAAAAGCCAACCGAAACGTTTGTATCTTAGAAAAACAGCTCACTTCTCTTATCCTATTTATAAGCTATTTTTAGTATGTTCTGCGTAGATTGAGAAAAATTTCAAACTACTCTAACTTTCTATTAAAATATAACAATGTTTTAATTTTACTCTTATTTAATATATACATCTTTCAAAATAAAATTATATACACTAATAAATAAAAACAAAAATAGTACATTTTCACAAAAAATTTAATGAAGTAACTTATAAAGAGGACTAAAAAAAATCTTCTCTCTCTACCTTATAAATAAAACCAGAGAGGGATAACTGTTGTTTGTGTTGCGAGAATTCCTATGAAATTAAAATTTCTCCATTGATGATTTGCTTGGTTTATGTTGTTTTTGTGAAAATATCAGTCTTTTGATTAATGATTTTTCTCTTAACGCAATTGGTGAATATTATGAATTTCATTGACGTATAAGCCGAAAAGTGTGGCACAAGAAACAAAGTGCATCAGAAGAAATAAGAAAGGCCTCTGAGGATTTAAGGAAGGAAGCAAGAAAAATGACTTGAAGGAAAACAGAAAAAGCCAACTCCAAATACGTCTGCATTTTAGAAAAATATAACTAATGAATAACACAGTTAATTTCATATCACAGTAGTTTTTTCAAAGAAAAAAACAGACACTTGAATCAATCAAAACGCTCAAGTATCAATGGCATACAAGCCAAGAAGGGTGGCAGAAGAAAACAACAATACTACTATATAACAAGAAATCAGAATAGTCCTTTAGAGTACAAGGAAAATAGACAAAAACTTGTGGAATGTTGTGCCTTTACAGACTTCACAGCTCACAGATAATTATTTTATTTTACCCACATGGGATCATTGGGAGGAATGCAAGCACTTCATGAAATAGCTTTGAAAATGAGCAATATTATAATGTACATCATATAATAATTAACTGGGCTATACGAAAAAGAAAAGGCAGCTCAGAGGGTAACGGGTGAAATTTTGAGGTCGAGATCCCAGAGGTCAAAGGTGCCATTAACAAAATCGTAATGAGCACCTTTTAGTGCGAGTGTTTTCTTCGCAACTCCGTCTCTCACAAATGGATAGCTCAGCAGATTTCCAAGCGACACATTCACTGCTTCCTGCAATATAATTAAGGAAGTGAAACAAATGAATCTAATTAATACTACTAATTGAGTTATGGAAGTCTATCTGTTTACTTAATTAATTAATAACCTTCTCGCAGTTAGTGCACTGCTCCGAGAAACTCAGGCCTTTTGTGTTTGCTTTAACCTTGGACTTCGCTGGATTACAAATTTGCACCCAGTGCTCGATGAATTCACTGCAAGTTCACACAGAAATAATCGCAGCAATTTTTAGAAAAGGAAACAGAGAATGAAAAATGCGAAGTTGCTCGGCAATTTGATATATGCTCTAATAGTGTATATTTTGAAAGGTCAGCCCTGCGAATAAAGACTAAAGTCTCTGAAAAAGGAGGACCACCCACTTGGTTGGAAGTGATAAAGGGTGTGATATCAATTAAGAGTACTTAGTCATTATAGTTTTGTTTGGTAGGAAGCATTGAAAAAAAAAGATTAGGATTAAAAAAAATAATTAAAATAGTATTTAGTATGAGCGATTGCTTATTATATGGGATTAAGCAAACCCATAGAGGTGGGATTGGGGAATACCACTTCCCCTCATGGTATTTCTCAATTTCACATATATGAGCTTGGCTAATCTCATATAACAAACAATCTCTTATACTAAATATTTTTTAAATAGATTTTCTCAATTGCAATTCTAATCCTGATCTTTTATTTTTAATGCTTCTTACCAAACGTCACATATAAGTACAGAATTCTCAGAAACATAAGAACGCTAAGAGGCCAATTGATAAATGATACTCATGTAGAGATCTTACCTTGAAGTGGTCCCATCTTCTGGGATAGACATGAGCCCTTTTATTCCTCCACAATAGCTATGTCCAATCACCACTATATTCTCCACCTACGTCAACATTTTTTAAAATATTATTACAATTCATGATATATCCATAATGTATTAGCTCAGAAACTGACGATGAGAAATAAGACCAACAGTGGATTAAAAAATACTCCTCCGGTCCTTAATATAAGACCCATTTAACTAATTTGATTAGATTAAGGAAGTTAGGTAAGTTAATTATAAGAAAAGTGACACATTTTTCCTAAAATACCATAATTATCTTTTTTAATACCCCTCTCCCTCTTCTATTTGATTATGGTTGAGGGAGTATCTATAGGGGTAATTTAGAGAAAATTGATAAATATGAGAAATGGGTCTTGTATTTAGGACCAAAACCAATTCAAGAATTGGGTCCTATATTAAGGACCGGAGGAGTAATAGTGGATTCACCCAAGGGTTTTTCTTTTCTTTTTGCAATATTTAGAATTCATTTCACATGTATATCTGATTCTTAACAAGTAAGACATTTTTTTAATAACGTAACTAAATAATTTAAAACCTATTAAAAATATTACATCTAGCCGTAAACAAGCTCATAACCACATAATATTCAAGGAAACATATGCTTTATCCATATCCAAAAATGCAGTCACCGCTCATCTTCTCACTTTTGCCTTTTTCTTGGAGATTCTGAAGGGAAGGCGGAGATGGCTTTGGTAGGTATTGAATCATGAATTCCCTCAACCTAACTTAAGTTCACCGAATATAATATGTGAACTGGTGCGGTAGTTGGCTACCTTTTTTTTTTTTTTGGTTTTTTTCCTCTCAATTTCTTAAGATAAATCATTCACATGCACTCTATTTCATGAAATACGAGTGGATCCCAACAAATTATGGAGGCTGCACTAAACGTTGTTAATCTCACCAAACTCGTTCTTCCTTTATTTAACATGGCCAACCCCACCATATGAGGAGAGGGAGAAGAAGAATATATATCAGAATTAATGAAATGAATGGAATTTTTACCTTTAAATGCAACACTGCATATTCAATGGCTGCCCCAGTTCCTGAATATTTCGTCTGCAGTAATAACAAACGTGCGTTTCTAAAATGCCAGAGGAAACTGCTATAATGCGGGAAGACACTCCTAGATTATTAAAATTTAAACATTAAATAAGGCTAATTATTTTGATAAACATCTTAATTAAAAATAGTGTAACTCATTTTCTGGATTATTATTTTTAATTAATTTGCTAAAGTATTAATTAAACATGCCTGTATAATTGCCGTTTGGTGTTCGTGAAGTTTTACACATCCAAACATCTTTTATATGGGAGAAACCAAACCTTGTCATAAGGTGGGATCATGTTGGCGATGTTTCGCACCACAAAAGCCTCACCCGGTTGGAAATTCAGTACATGCGATGGGCAAACTCTGGAGTCTGAGCATGCAAATACCAAAAACTACACCCAAAAAAAATTTATTAGTTTGAAGAAATTTATATTAATCAGTAATAAATAATAACTAGCTACATGCTCCAACCAAAAGAATATTTAAAAGCTATAATTTATGCATCCAACGGCTGCCTTTTTCTTTTTGAAAAAACTAATTTTGACAAGGTCAAATCTTAGTGGACTCCATAATTGGTTCATAAATTATAAAATTCCATTAAAAAAATGCGACAATGCTCCTCTTTGAGGCCACCACATCCACAAGTCCGGGACTATGTTACTTAAACATGAAGCCAATCATACAGACAATAATAATACTAATTAATGAATTAATAAGACCTCCGTCACATGTCATGGGTACTCATGCTATTTTTTTCTTTAAAAAAAAAAAATCGTGATCTCCAACATCTGGACAGTGATTATCTCCATGAATAACATATTTAAAACCCAATACTAACCGACAAAAGTCCTTTTTTGGTTTAATTTTTTGGCCTGGGATTAGCCAAAAATATTAATTAATTAAAAATAGTAATAACATTAATTATGTGAATAATTTATAAAATTTGTAAATATTTCTTCGATAATAAATTAATTACTTATATATAAAGTTTAATTGTATAGAAGAGCAAAATTAATAAAAAAAAACTAAATACTTTAAATATTACTCCAAAACAAAATAATTTAAACTGTATCTTAGAAGTCAAGGGAGAAAAAGACTTATAATATAGAGGGAGGAATAATTTAGAAAACAAAATTAAATTACTGGTGATTGACTGTAAAGTCGCTGACCTTTGGGCTCTGGCCTTTGGCAAGGTTACCAAACAAATCTGGATTCTTCCTGAGAGAAGACATGGCAGTCACTGTAATTTGCAATTTAAAATTTAAATGCGACCAACTTTGAAAAGTAAAATAGAAGGTGAAAATAAATTACTACATCCAGTAAATGAGAAATTGATTTTCCAGAGCACGTGAAAGGTGGATCAAAATGCAAAGTCTCTATTTTCGGGATCAAAAAGATCCAAAAAGTCATGATCATGCCCATAATTTCGTGGTTAGGCGCTTAAAAGTTCTTCTCATGCTGTCGCTAATTAGCCTTAGTTTCTATTGTCTGATTGGTGCCGCTATAACGTGTCGCTTTGTATTGGGTCCCGCTCAGGGTAAAAATGAATATGTGATAGCAACGTCCACTGATAAATAAGTGAGCAGACGTATAATCCTATTCTCATTCTACTGTAAAAGCTCTGAACAAGGACAATCACGGTATTTCACATGGGAAGAGCAAAGCATGTTCCAGCCCGGACTGCAGGAAGGTTCTAGTCCGGTTTCGAGATTCTAATTCAGAAATTCTAAAATCAAATGATAAGCCGACGTACTCGAACTTCTCTTTCTTAAAGTGAGTGAACCCGCCCCGGATCCTCTCGTCCGGGTTAATCGGCTTCGAACCGGCGGCGCTCAACTCGGCCGTCAGCTGCTTGATCTTTGCGGCGGCGACGCCCCCGAGGTCAGCTTTCTCACTGCAGGAGAAAAGTTCAAACCGTTAGACGAAACAGGAAAACGCGTCAGACGAGTGCGGGCCCCATCGGCACGGCGACTGCTAGTTTTCGAGCCAGGGGGCCCACCTGCCGAACAGGCGACCACCGAGAAAGCGATCTCCTTATAGTACTGATTTGTTTGTTATGGTGGTGGAGGAGGTCGTGATTCATTCAACCGGTCGTGTTTACAGAAATGATCCGAAGAACAAGAGCTAATTTGAGTTGAAAACACAAGAGGGAGCAGTAGAATAACGTAGGTATGAGAATTGAAGGACGAAACACGATGATCAAATAATTGCAGTATACTTTACCTGATAAGCTTCTTTAGCTCTGCAATGGCTTCCTCGTATGACTGCCCTGCCATGTCTTCCTTCTGTTTACTCCAAAACAATGAAAAGACCAGGCAGAAGTCAATTAATACAACAGAAATTCTACAGAGAATTTAAAGCTGATTGGTTCACATAAATCAGCAAATGAAACTAGCGAGTTATAAAATTAATTCAATCAACTTGATCGCAAAATTAACTTCATATATCTGCAGAGACGATAACGATCGTGAAGACATGAACAGCAGAAATGAATAGCAACGAGGTGGATATATAAGAAGAAATCGAATGATTCGGAATATTCAAATGAAAAAGGAGGAAGTGACGGTAAGAATGATCTGTATGGAATCATGGAGAGCAGGAAGAGGATCTGGTACGAACCTTGTTTCTGCAGAAAGCGGCGAGAAGGAGAGAGCGATGAGCGTGTGTGGAATGATAGAAACGGTGAGGTTTTAGGAGACAGAAAAGGAAATAAGGTCGTCACGCAATGTGTGCCACGGAAAGCGGGTGCTCATTTATATATAAGACGCACAACGCTGCACTACTCCAGACAGATACAATTCACTTTCTTTGTTCGGCCTCATGTTATAAATATAATTAAGTTTTCTTGTCATGATCATGTATCATTTTTGTTTCATATATATGATCAAATATTAATATTTAAAAAATAAGACTTATGATTATGTATGGTTAAAAAATTGGAGATGTAAGTATTATTAAATAATATACTTCTTCTCACGTTGATATGTATGATAAAATTACAGTAAATCTGTTTATAATAACTATATGTTTGGAGAATTAATTATCCAATCATTCCTAAGGCCTAGAAAAAAAGCCTCTACCAAAGAAAGGGAAAAAATGAGGTAATTCAATACTTACATCAAGTTTGTTTTATTTATAAGTTTTTTAATCGATCATGTATCTTTATTTTTAAAATATTATCATTTAATTATAAACCAGTATGAAAAAATAGAACACATGATTATACATATAATTAGAGAATTTGACATAATGAATATAAAAAATTTAATCTAAATATTTTTTAAAGTATATATTCGTATAATACTATTTCAGGTCTTATTTATAAGACTTCATCTATAGATACAAATGAAACCTTATAAATAGGGCCGGAGGTAGTACTAAATTTAGGTTCATTCATTGGATGACTAATTCGCCTGGCTGGGAAAAAAAATTGGACAACTAATTCTCCAAACAAGTATTTATCAACAATTTTTTCTAAATTATCTTTTTTCGCCAGACTAAATTATCTAATTCATGTATGCTAATTCAATTAAATAATTTATGTTTTAAACTAATTTTCATTTTCTCAGTTATATCCTTATTTAATATTCACTTTATTAACTCGTGCGAAATATTTAAAAATTATTTACAACAAATTAATTCATGTACAGGTAATAAATAAGTAATAAAAATTATTAAACACTCATCAACAGATCATTAACTTTTCGTCTTATAAATAAAAACGGACGGACTGCAATTTTTAATTCTCTAATTTAAAGGGGTTATAGCCTTATAGGGGAGAACACTGATAATAATTGAATAAATATATAGAGGAAAAGAAAGGGGATAGGGCTGGCATGCATTGAAAACGCGGTCGGGCGGTGGGGCTCCCTCCATTATTGAAATTAAGAAGCATGGAATTGCGGGTTGACTTGTGGAATTTCCTCTCCTTTTTTATTTTGATTTGTTATTTTCAGTGACGAATGAACAGGCGTGGGAAAAATTAATGTGTGGAGAAAGTTGACTTGATTGAGATGAAAAATATGCGTGGGAAAAATTGATTGGAATGAAATTATGATGGACAAATAAACAATTTCAATAATTAGACAAGGTTTTATTGATAAAATTATATGAAAATGCTAATTGGCTTCAAACGACATCGTTTTGATTCTGAAGAGAAGAAAAATGTTGCGTACCGAGGCGGTGTTGCTGATACAGCACAGCGTCATGCATTTTTTAATGGCTCCAGCCATATATGCTTTTCTTCGCAACAAATCCCTTCACTGCCGCTGCTAATCAATTGATATATATGTCATATATATATATATATGCTCATAATTATTTATCATGCAATAATTCGAATGAGTCAACAAGTTTACATTATTTTGCTCATTTTGTGTCATTTTAGATGACAAACTTTTGTGTTTCAGTGAATAAAAAAGTTCCTATGACTTTTAAGGTTATTGGTTCAAATCTTACTACTAATGTAAGATACTATTTACTGATGGTTTGTAAGTTATTTTTATAAATGCTTATTGAGTCTAGAAACGTATGCCTTGATGATGATGCTAAAGTCCCAGAAATTCAATGCATGTAATAAGAAAAAATTTCTTGGACCTCTTAGCATGAATCAATAACCCAAAAAAAAGAAAAAAATCCCCAACTGATTCCTTGATCTGGCTTTGGCTGCTTTAAACTACTCCTTCCAGTTTTTATTATAAATTTTAAATAATCAATTCACAGATAACAAATAATTAGTTAAAATTAGTTTAAAATAATAAACAGGTTAGAAATATAATTTTATTTTTAAATATGCTCTTATAATAAATAAGAAAAATAATAAAAGAGAATATGTGGAAAAATATGATAAGAGAGAAATGATTAGGAGCAATATTGAAAAAATTCATTAAATATTAAGATAAATTCAAATTAAAACTTGTAAAATAGGTCACACCTGTTTTAAAATTTGAAACTTATAAATAATATAGGATAGAATGTAAAACTTTTATTTGTTCAAAAACCCTTTTGAAACGATACAATTGAAGGTACTTTCTCGGGTTCTAATTATAAGACTTATTTTATAGTATAATTATAAATACGTCTTATATTCAGGATCGAAAGAGTATTATAAGATGGACAATGTTTGAAAATTATCTATATAGGGAAGAACGAAGACGCGGTGTCAACAATTCAGCACCAATGACGACACTGTTTAAAGAAGAAAGCAAATACTCGTAGCAGTTCACATTGCTGTCTTCGATAAACTAACGAAGAAACAATTATTAAGGAAGTCGAAAAGAGCAAAGAAAAGTACCGAAACAAAGAGCAGCTTCTTTAATTTGACCACTGCTCAATTCAGCCTCTTCGTTTTCTGCCCTTTGGCCTACGTCAATGGGAAGGGAAGAAGAAAGAACTAAATATGAGAGAGAACATTACAGAGAATAATAAAGGAAAAAAAGTTGAATGGGGCTTGAAGAAAATGAAGTGTTAGGTGGTAGAGGGATGTGTGCAATAGATGTGAGCTACTTCCTTATCTACATTGTGAAGCCAGTGATGGGAAGAGCCAACATTTGGCTTATTATTATGTGCTTCAGATGAGATAAGATGAGGGCAAAATTGTCTTATCACAGTGTCCTGCAAAAACTATGTCATTCTGTGAATATGATTTTATGTTGAGTTTGAATGTGGTGTGCTTTTGTTTACGTGTTACTATCAATCCTACCATATCAATAATTTTCAACGATATATGCCTAATTTTCTTCACCCGTCTTTTTGTGATATTGAATTGTTGTTCATTCTAGGATATTACCAGGGAAATTTGGCTTACCTGTTTGAGCTGTTTATTTGTTAATGAGACTAATGGTACAACTCCTATTTTACTTTTCTTCAGTTGTGTTCAAATTAGTAAATTTTTTTCAAATAAAAGTTATTTATTCATAGTTGAAAACATGTTCCACACGGCTAAATAAGAGTTGTACTCGCTCAGATTCAAGTGTATTTAACTAATAAATTTTTCAAACATACACTTTTAACGAATTCTTCGTCATTATTATTCCATTTGATCAAAAAGATACCTAAGTGATTTTGTGGATTAAATTAATCAGATAAATTATTTAATTAAAACAAATACAACCCAGTATCTCTAAAACGCCCCTATGTAACAACAAATTATATATCATTTTACAAGTTATATAAATAATTTTTTTAAAAAATAATAAATATATAAAATAAAGTGAATTGAGATGTAATACTAAGAATGGAATTAAACCTTCGAAGTTTTATTTCAATCTTATTATAAGCACCTATTTATGATTTTATATAAATTAAGAAATTTAGTGGAAATAAAAACTGCCCTGCTCAATAAATAAAAGCGGTGCCTGCCACTGCTCTGGGACAAGCCCACAACTAAAGTCTCCGTTCTTAAAACATTAAAACAGGCCTTGCTTGACACCACGGCCCCTGCCATGTTCTGGGATGTGGTCCCTTGCCATGCCAGGGCCCTTATCTTATCATTATATGGTACTCGTATTTAAAATTTAAATCCCCTAGTACAAATTTTTAAAAAAAAATTAAATCCCCTTATCATATTAGTTATAGTTAGTTTCTTTTCTTTTTTTTTATAAAATTGATTATATGAAAAAAAATAAAAAGGAATTTCTTAGTTGGCCGTGTATGTTTGTAAAATACTAAAATATATCGATATATAAATTGTGTTCATTTCATGTTGGAGTTTTCAATAAATTTTCTACCATGTATAGGCAGAGAGATTATAATTGGTGTGAAAATAATATAGAAACAAGGAAGAAAACAAGCTGTACTGTTTGTAACAAAGCTAACGCCACGACACAGCTTGTTAATTAATAGCTAGGTTTATTTCGATGATAAATATAATTTTTAATTCAGTTTATCTTCCTAATTTATATTTTTTTAAGAAATATTCTTATTGGTTGCACATATTAAATATTTTTATTAAGAAAAAATTTAAATGCAAATGATTAAATATGATATTTTAGGCCAACTAATATACATATTTCATAGATAACTTGTTTCACTTACTTTTTTTATTTTTAATCTTTGCAGATTAATCATATAACACCTATATTCACAGTTGAACGGAGTGTATATGTGGCATCTACAATTGATGGGATGCGTCTTTCACCAACCATCAAAATAAGAATTGCAGGGAAAATAAGTAAACATGATTCCATCGAATGCTCGGTTTCGAGTTGCCGTCCAAACAAGGCACATGATTGCTTCTTCACCAAATTTTGGGTGTGTTTAGTTTTCAACTCAGGGAAAGTTAGTTTGTCAAAAGCCTATTTGACAAAAATCAATTTGGTAAAAGTTCATTATGAAATTTACGCTTGGATGCATTTTTAAAGGCTAGCTTAATAATCTCATGAAAAAAAGCTAGCTTAATAATACTTAGCCAAACGTGGTTTCCGCAATCCTAATCTTGATTCATTTTAGGCAAATAAATATTACCTCCACTATATAATATAATAGTTAATTTAGCATTCAATTTAATCGCAAATATAAAATATCAATCCATTTTGTTTTTATATTTATTTATCTTTTCTAAAATAATTCTTGTAACAGTTACGTGCACTAAATGTTCGATTAAATGATAATTCTAACTAATATATATAATTAGTAAGGATATTCTATGAAAAAATAATATTTATTACAAATAACTAACTTAACAAACTTTTTAAATATATTAAAATTAGTTAACTGACTCTTATATTAAGAATTAGATAAAATGTTTTTTTTGTAAAGCATCGGACTTTTCCATAGCATTTACTTCAATAATTCTCTGTTTTCCCCCCCAAACCATACATGTTCATACAAATCGAATGCAAAACATTCAAGTTTCCTCCTCTTCTGCACCTGTCACCTAACTAAATCCATAATCAATCACACAGAACAATTGGCAGGAAATTTTTTTCCATAATCAATTACATAATTTACACAAAAAGGTCGAAGTCCCAATACAAAAATGGCCTCCCCTACCATTATCATCTTAGTATATTTACATAATAATCAATAAATAATTTTAATGAATAAAATCAACATTTTAATTTCGGGACCAACAAACTCAGAAAGGATGAACGTTCCTGCTCATTCCGTTCACATTCGCAAAGATCCCAAACATGTCTTGTTTGTATGGTAAATACGACTTCTTTTTTTCACTTTCCTTCTTCGCTCTGTTCATCACATAATGCTTCTCATGTGCTGACGACGTCGTCTTACTATTCCCTCCCTTGACTTTCTTCACCGCGACGTTTTTTGCTTCGCCGGAGTTCGTCTTCGTTGTCACCGCTTTCTCGGGCTGAACGCCCGTGCTTCTATTGTCCGAAGGGTTTAAAAAGACGAAAGCGTCCTTGCCGTCGCTATTGCTCCGGAGCTTCGTTTCTCGGAACCTCCATAGCTTGGAGAAACCTGTGGAATTGCTCTTACCGCATTTCGCGCTCGAGGCCTCCACCGCAATTTTCTCGGACCATTCACAGTACGGCCCCTCCGGCGTGCCATCAGGTTCGTCCGATTCAGACGCCGAGGACAAAGAAGAAAATTGACCGCTTTGTTCCACGAAGACCTTCTTCAACGGCGGCCGGGGAGCGGAGGAGCCGTCGTACCCGTCGCCGAAGAGAAGACTTCTATCAAATATAGGATACATAGGTCGGATCTGGCCGTTGTCAAACACATCGTCGGCCGAAATCGGTGATCCATCCGGGATCGCGCAATCAAAGCTGAATTCCTCCTCTTCCTCCTCTTGTTCCTGGTCTTTCTCTTGAACCACATCACCAATCTTCATCTTGGTCCTCATATTGTCAGCCAAATCCTCAGAAATTTCATCGTGAACCGTGAAAGGACGGGAATCACTGAAAGTGCTGGAAGAAGGTAAAACCGAAACCGCTTGCATCATTCTTTTCTGTTGTCAAATCCCTTGAACAGTGAGAAGTCGTGGATTTGAAGTAGAGATATTGAATTTGGAGCTTCTTAGGTTAGAGACAGCAGGTGTGATGGAGATGGTAAAGGTGAGGAGAAAAGCCGTGCGGGTGGGTTTTTATATGCAGCCTATGTGAATGCGAGTGTTGGCGGGTGATCCACTAGCCCAAGCCAACCGTATTTGGATGGAAGTTGCAAAAATTGATTTTCTTGAATTAAAATTTTTTAAATTATTATTGTGGCTTTTCTTGGTTTGTTCACACGCTCCACGTGTGTTAACCTTTCACGCGGACCTTTCTTTGGGAAATTGCGTGTTGGCTTCTTGGTTGGTTGGTTGGTTCCAGAACGTTGAGCTTAGGGACGGAGCTCATCGTCCGCTACGATTCCCTCCTCTTGCAGGAACTTCCATGGATTTAGACCCGCTTAATTTTATTTGAAAATTATAATATTTTTAAATATAATAGAAAATTAATAACTTATTTTTATGTTATCAGAAAATTCATTTATTAGTTTTTAGGAAATTACAGTTAAAATAAAAAATAAAAAAGATAGACTTACTATTTATGACTATTTAAATAAGTTTTATATTCATATTTTAATATGGAATTCAACGAGAAAAAAGGAATATATTATGGAAATTAAGTTCCTTTTTATATTTAATGAAAAATATAATAATATTTTCCTATATATATTTTTTCACTCTGACTTTCATTTCATAAAGAATAGATTTGATTATAAACAGGAATATAGGATTACAAATATTAAAAATTTACTATCGTTTTAATCTCTCTTCACAATTTACATGCTTACCTTGTAAATTTAAACTAAAGACTTTAATTGTCATTCCAAACAACTACTACTTCTTCTGGTCTTTAATATAAGATCTCGTTTGATTTTTATTTTGATTTGAAATATAAGATTCTAATCTACTTTTTCTCTCATATTTATATATTTTTTCTCAAGATAGTCCTTCTAATGGTTGTTGTTTTAGCCAACATATTTGATTAGTAAGAATATTTTAAGAAAGAAAATAATTATTTATTACAAATAACTAATTTAACTTATTTTCTTAATCTTCTCAAATTAGTCAACTAGATTTTATAATTAGAACCGGAGGAGGTAGTATTAAAATGATGTTGTTGAAGTTTAAAATGATAGTAAATTTTTAAACTTCATGTAAACTTTTTATATTCTATGATAACTGCAAAAACATTATGCCTACCCACAAAAAAATATTATTATATTTTTGTGATTTTTTTTTTTTTGAGAGATGTTGAAATTTCCCGTAACTCCAACTCTGAACATATACTCCAATTGGAGGCCTTATTGGAAATACAGGGGGTGAGCTAAGCGATGAGCTAATGCAGGGAGGCTGACGTCATCGGCAGTCTTGGGTGTTAAGGCACTTCTGTTTCCTTCCGCGGCAAGCTTTGGAACTCTCTACAATTATGAACGGGGAATGGATGCATTACGCCCACACGATTCCATCCGTTGAAATTTGATTATTTAAAACAAAAAACATATGAAGAAACAAGTTATTCATATAAAAACAAGGTTCATGAAAAACATGTTATTCATACGAATTATACGGCCGATAATTTATTTTTTCTTTTATTATATTAAAATTTAAACACTGAAATTACTAATTTTTTCCAACGAAACTGAAATCACTAATTACGTCTTATCTCATTCTAGTATTCATCGTCTCTATTTCAGACAATTTTTTTTTTAATCCTTTTTTCAAACAGAGTTAAAAAATATTTTAATAATAGTAATCGAGAAGTAACCAGGATAATTTCATCGCATCTGTTGGAATTTCCAGGTAAATTACATCCTTTATATTTTATAAAATAGTATGACTATATATATTATTTATATTCACAGATAGAAGGAATTATTGATATTAATGTTTTCCCCTCCCCTGATCTCCAGCGGATTATATCCCCTCGGATTGTAAGACTTGAATTGACTCATTTATTCATTCCTCTAATAAAGTCAGGATTAGGGATCCTTTGACTTTATCAAAAACCAGAGATCATGCATCGAAAAGCGTGGCTTTGGTAATTTGATTAAGCTTTGATAATACTAGTACTACCTTCGAGTCCTAATTATAAGAGCTAATTGACTAATTTGATGAGATTAAGAAAGTAAGTTGAGTTAGTTATTTGTCCTAAATAAGTATTGTCTTTCTTAAAATATCTTTATTAATCAAGTGTATTGACTAGAACTATTATTATTAGAAGGGCTACTTTGGAAAAAATATATAAATATGAAAGACAAAATGGATTGGGGTCTTATATTTAGGACCAAAATAAAAATTAAATAAGGTCTTATATTAAGGATCAGAGGTAGTACTATCTAGTTTAAATAAAATATGTAATGTTTAAAAATTAAAAGTTTATAGTATTAAAGATTGAGAGTATTTGTTTTTAGTATTTGTTAGAAAAAGTTCTGAAATTTATAATCATCGTCACAATTGACATTACTGCTTGGCAACCAAGCACCGCGCTGACTTGACCATCGAATAATCATATAGAGGTATTCACATTGCGCCACCCTCGTTGACCCTCAAATTTATGAAACACGAAGAAGCTTCTACGGCTGAATATTACAACCTTTACTCCTTACTCAGCTTTTATTTATAAATTATTTTTAATATATTTCACATAAATAAAAAAATTTTAAAATTTTATTAACTCTCGTTTAAAATTCAACAAGTTTTAAATTTTATCCCTGTTCAGTATATATTATACTTCATGTAAACAAAGTCAACACAATAATAAATAAAAAGTAAACTTATACATTCATACAAAAATTTCTCTTAGTACCCTATAAATAGGATTAAAAAAGATCTTCTCTCTGTGTTTTATAAATAGGACCAAGTGAGCTACTCATTTGGTCCTATTTATAAGTTACTTCTAATATATTTCATACAGATTAAGAAAGATCTTAAATTTTATTAGCTCTCATGGAAAATTCAACAGCTGTTCAATTTTATCTCTATTTAATATATATTATACCTCATGTAAACAAAGCCAATACAATAATAAATAAAGCGTGAAACTGTACATCCATATAAGAAAATTTTCGTAGTGTCTTATAAATAGGACCAAAAAATACTCTATAAATAGGACCAGAGGAGTAAGAATTAATTTGATTCTAAATATAAGACCCCAATTCATTTTGTTTCTCATATTTGTTTATGTTTTCCAAAACAGTCATTGCACTAGCTAGTTCCATATGTCAAATACTTCATCAAATGATAGTTCTAACTAATACATATAATTAGTAAGGATATTCCGAAGAAAATAACACATATTTATTCTAAATAACTAACATAACAAACTTTTTTAACGTACTCAAATTAGTCAACTAACATTTATATTAAAAACTGAAAGTAATAAAATAAGTTTGCAGATTAAAACAAAGAGGGCTTTAATGTTAATACTCCTGATCTGACAGCGATTAGTCTCAAACTGAAAATAACTTTATTTATTAAAAAAAGTACAATATTAAATTATTACAATTATCAGGCCCCGAATTACTTGCTAAAGTATTCTCTCTGTTTTTTTTTTTGGTCGGAATTAGTTTCTAGGTTCTAGCTCATATCTCGACCTCATTCACAGCACAAAAACATTACTTTTTCCCTTAATGTAAGTCATTTAATCAAATTTATCATATAAATTTATAATTCTATTTCTAATTTATTATTTTTAGATTATTATTGCCTTAAAAATCTATATACTAAATCGGAGTAAAATTAAAAACTTATTAAATTTTAAGATGTAGTTAGTAAAAGTTAAAATTTTTTCTTGATTCCAATAAAATATTTTACGAATTGCACCAAAGGAATATGCAAAACAACAATCAAGTAGAATGTAGTTTTTGCAGAACCATGTTTTGATTTGTGAAGCTATGTACCAGCTAGTTTGATCATAAGAAGCTATAACTTAATTACCGAAAGATTAAGAAACAAAAGAGTAATAAAATTATCAACAAACTAAATACCATATCCAGTTATAATTATAAGAACTAATTGACTAATTCGAGGATATTAATAAAATAAGCTAAGTTATTATGGATAATAAATATGTGTTGTATTTCCTAAAATATCCTTACAATTAGGTTTATTAATTAGAACTACTATTATTAGAGGGACTACTTTAGAAAAAAATCCACAAATATAAGAAAAAGATTGGAGTCTTATAATTAGAATCAAAATAAAAATAAAATGAGATCTTATATTAAGAACTATAGCATAATCGAATGAATGCCTCAGAGGGTAAGAAAATATAGTTAATTGAAAAACACAAAAAATATAGATGCAGCGTAGGGTATATATGCTTAGGGTAGAGGTTACCATTCCTAATTCTCTTTTTTAAGCATATAATGTTTTTTTAATCTGAATAATTCTCCTAATTTTAAAATCACGTGTAAATAAATTTTTTTATATCTTATTAGTGAAATAAAAGATAAAATAATAATAAAAAGTATTTATACAAAATACAAATATATTGACGAGATTTTAAAGTTGAGACCAAATTGCAGGGTTAAGTTTTTTTGCCCCTTCAATACAACGGGAAGAAGTTGGGTTAAGCTGTCTGTGGCTGTTTCAAGGTAAAATCGGGTCAAGTTAGAAGATCCGGGACCGCTAATAGTGACGTGGCCCGTTCTGAAGTTTGACCCAGTTCTCGTTGCGCGGTAACCCGAAATTCAAGGACGAGCAACACAGAATCTCTGTCGAAATTCGAAACTACCTTCTTCTTCCCAAAAAATCGCACGGAGCTTTTTCAGGATTTCTGGATTTTTTCCCCTATACGCTAATAATTTTTCCTTGAACTTTCTTTGTCAAACAATTTCGTTCAATTTCAAGCACAATCGCACACACTCTCTTTCTTGTCAACGCATTGCATCGTTGTGGCAATTCCAGCTTCATGTCCCTCCCGACGGAAGTTTATTCTCGTTGTTCCGATTGTTTGTGCTTTGATGTGCAGAACGAAAGTTTGGCTTACAGAAATAGTTTTCATATCAATGCCTCTCTTCATTTCTGTTTGATGTTTCCGCACATTTCATCTGTTTGCCGTTCATTCTGAGAAAACCAACGGGCGTTCCATTTTCTTCTTATTCTAAGAGCCGCCCTGAGAATAGAATTTCTGATAGAAATAGAAATGACTTCTAGCGATGAAACGGACAAGGATTTACTGTCTCCAGAAGGATCGCTTGCTCCAATGATAAACATTAATTTCGAGAAACGCTCGCAGGAAGATAAAAAGACGCTACCGGCAGCGCCCCCTCCAAAGTCGAAAAAGGATTCGGATGAGCATGACGCTTCGCCACCGAAGTCTACTGATTCTAACTCCTCTTCGAAGACACCGCCATTGCCGTCTCAGATTAATCTGACTCTGCCAAGCTCACCATCACCTAAAGAATCACCTTCCAAGAAATCACCACCACCGCCTCCGCCACCGATACCGTCACCATCGCCTCCACGGGCAACGCCACCGGCTCGTTCATCGGCAAAGCAATCGCCTCATTCACCACCACCTCCACCCTTACACTTGCAACTTCCCACCTCTTCGCCACCGCCACCGCCACCGCCACCGCCACCGCCACCGCCGCCTTCATTGTTGAGTAACAGGGGAAATCTCTCTCCCGGTCCCCCTGAACAGTCAGCGTCATCAGCAGATTCACACGACAGGTCTTCTGTGAATGTTAGTGTCATTTTTCCCTCGCTTGCTCAAAGCGTCCCACCGCCACATACGCAGGTTGGAGGGGGTATTGAATCTGGTTCTAATCATCCTTCACCTCCCCACTCACAAGGGCTTAACGCTGGCTCAAATACAAGACCAAATGTTTCTTCTGACGACTCAGTGCCGTCAACGTCAGGAGGTGAAGGTGGCAGTGGCGGCGACGGTAGTGCCGCAAAATATGTGGGTATTGCATTCGCTGGAGTCTGTATCGTTGTCTTCGTTGGTTTATGTTTTTTGGTCGCGAAAATAAGAAAAAGGAAACGAGGGGCCGTCCATGATGCATCGCATATACCGCCAAATACGAAAGCAGGTATATAGTAAGCGGCCATTTTTTGCATACTTAAGTTTGTGCATCAGACTTCATTTCTGATGATTTTGGTTTTGATCATCAGGTGATATGCGTTACTACGGACTGCAGCCCCTGCAAGATGACCCCTACAAAAATGGGAGCCAAACGGGAAGTGTGCAATCTTTGGGAACTTCAGAGACAGTGCAGCCCATGAGTGCCCAGACTGCTTTTAGCTATGAAGGTATTATGGAGATAACAAATGGGTTTTCTAGTCAAAACATTATTGGAGAGGGGGGATTTGGTTGCGTTTACAAGGGTTGGCTGGCAGATGGAAGAGTTGTAGCAGTCAAGAAGCTGAAGGCGGGCAGTGGGCAAGGCGATCGGGAATTTCGTGCAGAAGTGGAGATTATCAGTCGTGTTCATCATCGACATTTAGTATCGTTAGTCGGTTATTGCATATCCGAGCAGCAAAAGATTCTTATGTACGAGTTTGTTCCCAATGGAACGCTCGATCATCACTTGCACGGTAATGTGAGTTTTTCACAATTCATAATAAACTGGGTTTATATGCCCTCTAATTTATGAATCCATGATTGTAATTGGTGGACTGTTTGTATGTGCGAACAGGAAAAGGAATGCCAGTGTTAGATTGGGCCAAGAGGGTGAAGATAGCAATTGGTGCCGCAAGAGGTCTGGCATATCTGCATGAGGATTGTAAGTGCTGGTTTTGTTTTATTGTTTTCATATATTCCCACAGTAAAAGAATCATCCTTTGCAAACCATTATGCTATTGTCACATTGCCAGAGCAGTTGCCCTTGATTTTCTGTCGTCTAGGCCAAAGACTATAGTTCTTTATGTGGCTGTTCACTCATTTCATCTCTTAACTGTGCTATTATTTGATGAACTGCTAGATGTCAATATGAATGGACAAAAGTGCTCATAGGGCCATAGGCTAGGGCACCTTACATTTTGCCCTCAATTCTTAACATTATTCAGAGGTTCAAATGATGCTTTTGAAAGTTGTGTTACCTTTGGGCCACCTTACTTTATCTATCTGTGTTCTTAAGTTCCGAGATTTCTCTCATGCATGTTGGTCTAGTTTTTAACAAACATGAAGTAAAAGATATCGACTGTGCCGTGTATATGTATTTTCGTCAAGCACAAAATTGGTCTTCTAAGCACTTTCTTGTATCACTGCAAATTTTTAAATTTGTCTTTCAAAAGCCAACTATAGCGTTTTATCTATTTCTAGGCCACCCAAAGATTATCCACAGAGATATAAAGTCAGCAAATATACTTTTGGATGATGCTTATGTGGCAAAGGTACTATATACTTCAAATTTTCTTCTTCAATATGAGTTTCCTTTTGGAAACTGTTATATATTCGTTAGTCAAAAGTTGATGTCTCTTAATTTATTTTCATTCAATATAGTTTGATGATGTTTTAACTCAGGTTTCGGACTTTGGACTTGCGAGGCTAACAGATGATGCTGATACTCATGTATCAACTCGTGTCATGGGAACCTTCGGGTAGGGTTTATTTCTCTGAACATTGAGCCATGGATTATAATGTATCATGGTTTTCTCTGGGAGTTGCAACTTACTTTGAATGGGAAATACCTTCTGGGATTTCAAAGAAAGAAAGAAAGAACAACTGTGTAAACTAGGAGAGATTGGTGGTTTGTAGAATTTTGCAAGCCGATTGTGCTTTTAATACTTACCTCTCATGATATCACTTTGGCTAATGACTGAAACATTACCCCTGCAAAATTTTATTTCATTACTGTCAATTGGAATGTAAAGTAGTATTGACCCTCACAAATCGGCCAAGCTTTTAAGGTTTGATATTACAGCAAAACTTATGTGAGATACATAGTACGGAAGTGCAATAATGAATGTATTTGCTAGAAAACCGACTTTAATACACCCTATTCTAGCTTTGCATATTGTATAATTCCTGCTTCACCTTGAAGGTACATGGCTCCAGAGTATGCAACAAGTGGAAAGTTAACAGATAGGTCGGATGTCTTCTCCTTTGGAGTTGTCCTCCTAGAGCTTTTGACTGGAAGGAAACCAGTTGATCAAACTCAACCACTGGGAGAAGAGAGTTTGGTTGAGTGGGTATGAATGAACCTTTTTCTTTATTTTGCATGGAAATTTTGTTGGAAATATGATATTTTCTGTTCTTTTGTTTTCACCATATCCTTTCTGTCTTATGATGTTGATGAAACAATGCTCTGGAAACCATTATCCTTCCAACCATTCGCGTGCTAACTTTTAGGGCATAATATGCCATTTTTTAAAAGCACGTCATGTTTGTATCTAACTTCCCTTTTTTATATATGTAATACATTTTTTACAACTGCAGCTAACCAAGGTTCTTCTTCTGGTAGTTTGTGTGTATTGTATGTGAAACGGTTGCACATTTTCTGGGTCTGTTAATGGTCACCCTTTAGATTTTTTAACTCATTAGAGCATAAGTTCATAAAAAGAAAGTTATTCTCTTGATACAGCTTGAAAAAGCATTAGAACATCTGAGCAAATTTTACCCTCCTAAGGGAGACTTTATAGGCCAATTGAAATTCTGATGGACTGCTACTCAATTGAGTATAATTTACAGTGATCATGCTAAAGACACGTCTCTGTCAAATAATATTGTAGATTTCCTTTTTAAAAGCATTGGAACGAGTCCAATAAATCATAGGAGATACCCATCATCCAAACTAGAAGTTAAGACTTCCAAGTCATGTAATCCCACTAAAGTAGAATTTAAGCAATCTCTTAATTATTGTGAATCTTACGTTAAATCAATCTTTGAAAGTTTCCCTTTTCCCTTATGTAAGATCATGATCAGATGTGCTTCACATCATCGACTGGTGATTATTGTTAGGGTCTTGTGATTCAAGTAACAGACTTCTGAGATCGATACTCATTTACAGGCCAGACCTCATCTCATTCATGCAGTTGATACTGGTGACTTCAACAAACTAATAGACACAAGGCTTGAAAATCATTATGTGGAGAGCGAAGTACTTAGAATGATTGACGCAGCTGCAGCATGTGTTCGCCATTCTGCTCCAAAACGGCCCCGGATGCTTCAGGTATTAGAAAAACTAGAAACATCCATCACGGTTCTCCAAACTATATTTCTCATGTCACTACTATGACTGTTACCTTTTGACACAATTCTGCCCGTTATCTATATTTACAATCTGACCATCTTTAAGAGAAAGAACCACCAACTAATACACCTCTTGGTTCTGATCAGGTCGTAAGAGCCTTAGATAGTGGCGGTGAACCAGTTGACCTATCCAACGGAGTGAAATATGGTCAGAGCACTGCTTATGATTCTGGACAGTATGATGAAGAAATTATGAGATTTAGGATGATGAATGGTGTAAGCTTTAGCAGTTCTGAATTTGATTTGTATGATGAAGAATATAGTTCAAGAGAACTATCCGGCTTCCGACGCGCATTTGCTCGGGCTGGTTCGGGTGGCGAGTCCAGCTCTCAAGCTTTCAGCAAAGGTGGGAGCAGTGGGCAAACGAAGGAATGAATGATAACAACTAACTTTACCAATTTCCTTTATAGGATTTGCGGCATCAAGGATTTGCATCATCTTACAGAGCAAAATATAAAATGTTCAAATGGATTAGATTGCCCTTCCCTGGTTGGATCCTCTGTGAATGTAGAATGTGCAATGCAGAGGGGTACTAAAGAGAAGCTAGTAAATGTGTATACGTACAAAATGTGGATCCTATACGAAGTCACATTCTCCATGCCACTCCCCCTCCCCTGGGGAATGCATGAATACATAAACGAAAAGGATCCAAAATTTGCACTAACAATTGACTTGGCGTACAAATTTAATGTTGAACTTTTTCCCCCTTTATTTTTATTCTATTTCCCCTCTTGTTTTTAGCACTGGGGATGTGGAAACCTTGTAAAAAGAAACCTCTTTCTTCATCTTAATGTGTTAGTTAATGTACACAGGATGATTGTAGTTATATTTTATTTAACGCATTAAGTTATCTTCATTGAAGGACTAGCATCAAGCAAGCTTTTTCAAGTTTTTTAAATGATGACTATGTATGAATAATTTTCATAACATAAAATTTGGCCCAAAAAAACTTGAAAATACAAAAAAAAAATTCATTATTAAATCACTCCCATTCAAATTCCTTTTGAGATGGTGGATTTCATTTTCTGATCTTACCATCTTAGGATTTGCTTGGTTTTTAGAAAGATCACTCATGGAAAGGAGGAGGATGGAATGGAATAAAAATGTTGACCTAGAGGGTGTTTAGATAAGTTTTGACAAAGCCTATCAGGTATTTAGAAGTCTAAAATCACCTTTATAAATAAGCAATGTTAACATCTTTTGGCATTAAAAGCCTATTTGAGATCACGTTTAGGCCTCCAAATATGCACTTAATTGGTAAAAGTTGCTCTTTTATTAAAAATGATGTTTGATATTTGTAATCTGACTTTTGAGTTCACATGAGTTTTTGGATTGAAACTCCATTATCTTACTTTTAACAATAGGCATTAATTATTTGTCACTTGCCTATTTGACCCTCCTTCTGTAGCCTATCTTCTCCTCTATTGTGGCGAGAAGAAAAAACAAGAACAGATCCAAGCACAGCGTCTTCCATTATCTCTATTTTTAATAATTTTATTTTTAAAATTTTAAGAATAACTCATTTTTAGTAATAACAAGGAGAAAGCATTAATTATTTTTCAATTTCTCCATAACAATGACTGATTTTTTATTTTCAATATTACAATTGTCACATTATATACATATAATATTAAATATATATTACTTAATAAAATTTATGTCTTTTTTAATAATTTTATATTTAATGTTGTTTTTCTATTAATTATTCAAACAAGTTTTAGTTTACCAAGCTGTTTTTTTTTTTACAAAAATCAATCCAAGTATAAGTCATATTATACTAACTTCTACCCTAACTTGAGTTTGTAAAAGTCAGATTAAAAAAAATTATTATTTTTTTACTGGTAATCCAAACAAACTGTCTATGTTCAGTGAAAAACATAGTTGGGTGTATTTAATAGCAATTTTCAATTCTCACAACCTCCGATAACAAAACCCTCAGTACAGTAGTTAATATTCTTCCAAACTTCAGTGTCACTTCCTTCTGCTTGTGTCCGCGCACCTGCTTCTCATTTTCACTCCTGCTTCATTTTTGCTCTCTGCATCTCATTTTCTTTGCAACAGTCTACTTCTTGCATTTTTTTTTAAGCAGCTATTTTTAAAGTAATAGAAAGAAAAACAACGAATGGAGAGGATTCCTCACTTCTTTCTCTCATTCAAAACCATACATGAGACGGCTCCTAAGTGATAAAAGAAAGAAGATATTCTATTTTTGACTTTTGATTGTTTCTTATTATTGTCTCCTTAACTGAATTCATTTAGGGGGAAAACAGGGATATTATTATATATATTCATTGAGGATTAAACTCTAAACCTTTGGCAACATATTACCCTTTAGGTTAACCATATGGTCCTTTTCTTTTTTGGCTAAGTTATTTTCTGCTACTCTTATCAATAGTTTATATTACATTTTGGGATTTATTTTGCCTATTTAGATCTCTATACATACATACATACATACGTATATTGCATGAATCTTAAGACTTGAGTGACGATGAAAGAGTTTACAGTGGGATCTAGTTCTTCGACATTGAATTTACTGATGTATCACTTTGTGGCATTATGTGCAATTTGGGCATTTGCGTACAGAATTATGAGTAGTCAAGGTACTGTGGTTGGACCAAGTGTTACAGATGACTTACGAGATCGTCCTGTTGCTGGACCAATCAGTGTTAGAAATAAACTGTGAGATCGTCCCATTTTGTGAAAAAAAAAAATTTTGATAAAGTGAGAATGTTTGGATGGTTATTATTAGGATTTTTTTATATACAAGTTACTAAAAAGGATATAAGTTAATATGATAATTGTATAAAAAATAGATTTTAATTTATATTTTTGTTTGAAATAATAAATTTTATATGAAAAGAATATAATTAATTAATATTGCCTTTAGTCCTTAATATAAGAGCTAATTAGATATTTAATTTGATTATCAATATAAGACTCTAATATATTTTGTCACACACATTTATCTATTTTTTATATTTCAAACCATGGTTTTATACCTTCAAAAGTTTTTTTTAAAAAATCACTTTATGAAGAACTGTGGTTTTATATCCCAAGCTGTAGTTTTCAATTTAAAAATGATTTTGCATAAAATTATTGTGTTTGACTACTTTTTTCTAAACCATGATTTTTGGTGAAAAAGTAATTTTGCAAAAAAATTAGTATGTTTGGATGGTTGGATTCTCAAACCATGATTTTGCTTACTACCATGGTGTTTGGATGGTTGGCATATTAGAGGGTGTTTGGAAGAAAACAAAACCATAATTTTAAAATGATTTTATTGTATAATTTTATCTCGACTTATATAAAAATACTTTTTAAAAGTGCTTCTTGTGATTATCAAACACCAATCATTCCACTTCTCAAAATTGCTTTTGAGGTAAAAACACCCACAAATAATTCATGTTGCAGCATCTCAATTCTAACCAGAATCAATTTTGTAAACTCTAATCCAAATATACAGTATTAATATTGAAAATAATGGAAAGAAATATATATTTTTACATTTGATTAAATAAAAGTAACATTGAGAACAAATTGTTCCAAACATTAAGAAATTTAATCGTGTTGCAGACTGCCTTGCGAAGAGAGCCTAGGAAGCTGCCAAAGGATTCGTTTGCTTCAGCTCACCTCCTGATTTTCTTATGAGTCTTTTACATACTGATGTAAACGCTTATTAGCGCTTTTGCCCCTGTTTTCATTTAAAAAAAAAAAAAAAAGAACAGATCGGAACCAAAATTTACCAGAGTCAAGCAAGAATGCTTAGGAAAATTGAAGGAAGGAGCGTTACTTCTTTTTTGGTAATGAGGTCTCCCTTGGAATCTTCTACTTTATCCGGCTTCCTTCTTTTGGTCTGTATTCCCATTCTATTTTCTTCCTTTCCAGTTTGATTCCTCTAAGCAAACGTGACCTCAAGGATCACACTGTCAGTAGTTGGTGAAAGGATTCCTAGATGGTCCAACATAGTGATGATTTCTTTTGGATGCTTCAAATATATCAACAAATTAAAGAAGCTGTCTGTTAAATTCAGTCTTCTAAATCGCAATTGCTTGTTCTCTCGCAGTTCTTTTATTTAATCCCATAATTCTGTGTAGTCAATTGCATTCTAAGAAGTTCTTTGTCCAGAAAAAAGTTTACCACTTTAAGAACTAATGCTTTTCTGGGTTATAATCTCATCGAATTCATGGGTGGTATTTGCGTCTAATTCCAGGATCAAACACTAACTAAATCTTTAAAATATATATGGACTCTAATTCGTTCCACTGTCTTTTATCTGTGTCGGTGTATGTACATCTACAATCAAGGTTCTAACTTGAATTCATCCTAACACTCTTGGCCAAAAATAACATCAAGACACAAGAATTACTGAGCCATCTTGAATTTGTGCGTTTGTTTGCTTGCTTTGACATCACACAATGAAGCAAAAATGTGGAGAGCGGCTAGTTAAATGACTCAACATCATTCATTTCCTTTCTTGAATGAACAAGATTCCTCCCTCTCTGGTGAGGAAGACAAAGCCACGTTCAGGGAACTAGAAGGCCCTGCCTTTTTCAAAGACTAGTTCTGGAACTTGGATGTTTCAGAAGTAGCACCAATATGTACTTAGACAGTACATCATTATGCATAGTTATACATTTCAACTTGCAGATGCAAAATCTAACATACTAAGAAAGCAGAGAAGATAAAAAGCAGTAACACAATTACAACATAACGATGCCATAATTTGGCACAAGTATACATTTTTCCCTCTCTCAATACCATCATACACCTGCTTTGAGCTCCCCATCATGACCAATCTTCAGATCAAAACCCTTCATGTCACCATTAAAGTGTGGTTTAGGCCCTACTCTGCCTCCTCCTCCTCTTCCTCTTCCTCTTCCATGCCCATGCATATCATATCCATGTCCATGGCCAAGCCCAATGGGCTTGGAACTGGCGATTCTCTTGTCAAACCCAATTTCAAGATCTCCTTCTTTAGGCCTGAAGTTGTGGTGGTTTTTCTTTTGGTGCTTAGGAGGTTTCTGGTTGTGGGTGTGCTTGTGACTGCTGCGGCGGCTGCAGAATCTCCCCAGCAAGCAAGCAATAGCAGAAATGACAACTATAACCGCCAGAACTATAAAGACTGTCCCAAAAGACCCACTTGAGTGATAAGGAGGAGGGCTTGAGACAGCAGTGTATGGGTAAATTTGAACAGGTTGCTGAGGCTGAACTAGAGATGACATCCTGGTACAAGGTTGGAATATAGCAGAGATGCTGGATTTGAGGGCTTGGTCTTGTTCTGAAACTCTTTGCGCTTTGAGTGCAGAGAAAGGGAGATTTTGGGTTAAGTCATGAAGCAGCCTAGTAGATTGGTTGCCCGGGAGAGGAAGAGGTTGAGTATAGTTGGTTTCAAGGAAGGATGGTTTTTGAATTCAAAAAAGAGTGAAGAGAGGAACCTACTTTCTTTAATAAAGAGAGACAACAAAAAGATATTCTGTGTTCTTTACAGCAGAAGAAGAGTCATTGGCTCTTGTAATTGCTTTGTAATAAGAGAAAGTAGGATTTTGGAGCTCTTAAACACTGTAATCTCTCATGGCCCCATAAAAGCGCAGCCTTTGATAACTGGGGTTTTCCCATTGAATAATTGGAAAAAGATTGTCTCTAATATTAATATAGAGAATAGAAGAAACTAAAATATAAACTATTTAGAGCATATTAGGTATCAGTCGCTTTGGCTTATCAGAGACTTTTGTTGCAGCAAATATTACTGGCTGAAGTAATCACTAAATACTCAGTATATGCTCAAATTAACTTAATCAGTATTCTTATCTTTAACCAACGATAGTTCTGCTTAACGTTTTTTTTTTTTTTTTTGCCTTCAGAGTTCAGATAGTTCTGCTTAACTACCTCAACTAATCAGGTTTTATTTCATTGTGTTAACTATGGCGACCAGTCAAAAGCATCCATATGAAAATAAGATTGTTTTGGTGGCTCATGGGGCAATAATGCGAAAAATCAATTCATGGGTCAAGCTTTTCTCCGAAATTTGTGAAAGAAAAGACAGAGAGATCATGGTTTTAATATAGGGATCTGTGCATGCAAATATCATGCAGCACCACTTCCTAGCAAAATCTTATGATCTTATCACTTTGATGGGGTCGCCGTGTCTGGTTGTCTCCTTTATTCCTTTATTCTTTTGAAAGGGGGAATCTGCTGGATATAATTGAGTTGGGACTTGATGATTAAGAAGAAAAATATATATTATAGCTTTATTAATGGAGTAATAGTGCATTTAGAATATTATGAGAAACTCAACTTTAATGTCCTGTATTGTTAACCAGTTCAACTTGATTATTCTTGGGTTTAAATAAAAATGCTTCACTAAGAATGTTGTTATGAGATTACATTATCCAACGGACACTAAATCGTTTTCATTTTTGTTTATTTCAAAAAGTTTAATAAGTCGTCATGAGAACTCAATCATATGGATGTAGGCCTCACGAGTTAAAAAAATATTAATTGATATATTCATAAATTTCTCAATAAGAAAAGTCAATCTTTTCAAGAAAATCAGTTCCATTTTGATTCAATTTTCAAATGGGTAAGTCCTTTTAAATTTCAATTTGGCTAAAGATTCTAATGCAGGAGCTGGAAGAACATTTTATTTGTTAAAGCTGCTGAAAGCATCTCTTGTCTGTTTTAGTTTTACCGGAAAATCTAAGGAACCGCTAATATCAAATTTGAACAAATAACCTCAAAAAAAAAAAACCCACAACTTTCATTAATAACTGAAGACTTTCATTGCAAATATTTCTCGTGGATTCTGTAAGAAATAAGATAAGATTTATGCTTCATAAAATTAGCTAACAATTTATTATTTTCTTATTAGAAACATCTTTTTTATTAACAATTTTAATATTATAACGATGTTGGTTTTAATTTGGGAAAAAACTTATAACGTTATGGAACATAAATGATTGTTCATTTTTATGCTTTTTGAGAGAAATTTCAATTATTACAAGTTAATGGTATTTAATTGTTATCTTCCCTCAAAATATAATAAGGTCATTAATTCTCACTTGTCCATTTTCTAGGCATACTAATTTTGTTCTGGAACAGATTCATGCTTTTGATATGAATCTCAGCTCTGAAATGTAAACAAAAAAAACCATGCTAGATTTGAGATCAATTTGAGGGCACAGACTTTCAAGAAGAGGTCGGTTCGAGGTTCAAAAGAAATGTGCCAAAAGGATTGTTAATATCAAAAGAGAATGCTTCTCATCGTTAAAAGAAAGTAAAGGATGCCAAAGAAATGCTTTAGATGCTTTAAGAGTTTAAGTTTCTTAACAGAGTAATTTTATGAAAATTTTATTTACATTTAATTTATCTTCTCGTTTATATATTTTATAACTCTTTTTGTTTTTGTTTTTGGTAAACACATGGCTGAGTTATACTTACCTTAAAATTAAATGACTTAATTTGGTGGTTCGGCCCAAATTTCTCTTGTCACAATTAACTAGGCTCGATGAACTTAGGTTGAGTTGGACTGATTGGAGATTGGATCATGATATGAATATTCTTTTTTTCTACCAAAAACATGATGTAATTTTCAATTTATTTAATGGTTATACTACAAAACACACCCTACGTAGTTAATAATTCTTTTAGATCTAATAATAGTGTTTCTTTAATAACTATCTTAATTAAACAATACTACCTCAAGTTAACTAATTTGGAGGGATTAAGAAAGTTACTAAATTACTTATAGCATTTATTATATGATCTCTATAAAATACTTATGTATCATTAGATTATATATCAATTTATAAGTGAGGCTAATCAGTTTAAAAAAATGATAAATATAGATACTTTAAAGTAATTTAGCAACTTTCTTAATATTTTCAAATTAATCAATCGAGTATTATATTAAGTATTAATTAAAGAAACATTGAAGCTATTATATCGGTCTTAGATTCCGGTACGAGAGCTAAACTATAATAGTACTACAATTGTTCAAGAAGACAGTTTGGAAACAGTGAATGGGCTTGTGAGCCTTCATTCAATTTTTTTTTTTTGCTAAAGCATAGGTATCCTCCTATTGGAGGCAATCCTATTCGAGGCACTGTCGAGCACTAAATGTGGGTACCTCTTCCAGCAGGAATTCGAACCTTAATTCACCACGTTGTGAGAAATTAGTCCCTTCCGCTAGACCCAACCCCTGTCGGTGAGCCTTCATTCAATGACTTGTCTCACAGTTGCCTTCCACTGTTGATCATTATACAAAATGGACAACATTTTGATGCAGTTCCATAAGCATTTATAATGAGACTCACCATAAACACATAACGAGAGGACATTTTTCTGACTCATTAATTCATCTCATAATCAAATTGAATAACTGATAACGAACACTAAAAATATTATCTCTGTTATTTTCTTACAGAATACAGATTGCAGAACTTATACAAGTAGTGTGGAAGGCCAGGCAATGAAGAATTGCCTTGCCTGAGCTTAAGCTGAATAGACACGGCATTCTATGCTTTCTTCTCCATGTAATTCCCCAGCAACGGTACAGGAGACACTGCTGGGAGCTTGTTGCACCACTTCATTTAGCAGTAGTTTCTTGAGTTCATGCTGATCAGAACTCATGAAAGCACCCACGGCTCCAAGAAACCCCTCGTGCCGCAAAAACATCGCTTTGGCCTCACCTTTAGACCTGTAGTGATCAAACGGTATTCTCACATTCCATTTTCCAAGTATTTATGCCAGAAGGTCAAGCAAGAGATCAATAAGATTGGCTTAAAATTCGTATTAAAACCTTCTATAGTTGTATGCATGTTTGAAAGTGGCCAGGATGAGCAACGCTGAAAGATGTTGCTTGTTGCTTACCAGAAATTAACAGCAACAGATATTGTGTCCATTGTAAAAGGATGACTTCGGATGAAAAATCCACCGAAAAAAATTCTCTTCAGGCCGAATCGAAGAGCATTTAGGTAAGAGATCTGATAATAAGAGGAGGAATAAAGGAACAAAATCCATTTCAAAGACTGAGATAAACATATCAGGTAGATTTATAGAAGGCGAAGGCCATATATAAAAAAATTTTTGATAGAAAAAATGCAAATTAAAGTATAAACAGAAAATATCAGTAATGAGGATGAGGCGTGGACTTGTTATCAGATCACAGCTTTCTATTTTCATCTCTAGTTTATTTTTCATAACAGAAACAACGTTGAAACAGGATATTATTTTCATTTTTAGATCATTACTATGTACATACATACAAATGCATATGATGCATCGTTACTTGATCAAAATAAACAAGCTAAAACTGACCTGTCCAATATTATTTGAGATCATTCTAAGGAGAGATCGAGCAATATCTTCAGGTTTGTAATCTTCAATCTCCTTATTATCAGAAATTGCCTTCCCAAAGCTAGAAGCTATTGTTGTTGATGCAAGGCCTATCTGTCATCAATGAAAGGAAACAAGTATAGTTAACGGTCACTAGAAAGAATATTCTCCACCGAAAGCAATTCCTGATTCAGGAAAACTTATCAAAGAATGGTATCACAAGAATGCTAGTTTTTTCATCTTAAAGTGGAAAAAGGACTTACACTTTCACTAGCCATACCTTTGAATAATCCGTTCCGCCATAGATATCTCCAACAAGCATATCTATCACTCTGTTGTTCCCCCGATAGCTTAATTCCAGCAATTCATCAAAACTGAAGAAAAGAGATGTATTATTGGTTATCCAAATCTATATGGACCAGTAATGAATTAGAAAGGAAGATACCTCCTGCACTTAGTTAAAAGCTTTCCCAAACCCCAGAAAGTTCCTCCTCCAATACTTGTTCCACTAACTCGCTCAAATTTACCATCTCCTTCCACCTAAACGAAGACAATAAAATATTTTAAATAGCTTCAAACCGAAAAAAAAGAAGAAGTAAATACACGTTATCTACCTTAATCATGCTAACACCTGATCCGATATTAACAAGAAGATATGGATACAGATCGTTGTGGTCCACATCCATGAATTGCTTTTGACCGTCCATGTAGGTATACGCCTCCTGATGGACAACCTATAGCAAGAAGAAGTACCAGAGCAGATGTGAGATGTGCATCACATTGAACAGATATTGTAACCACACCCAACCAAAAGCAAGAGAAAGAAGTAAAGGAAATTCGGAGATAATATAGCATTGATAAAGAGGAAAAATAGCATAATTTCAACATGAGAAATATCATAAAGCGCAAGGTTTTTATAACTATGGAACTAAAGAATAGTAATAATCAATTATAAGTTTGAACGACCAACATCAGTCTCAACAAAATAGAAAGGGTTATTGCCAGAAAGGATGGCCATTCATTGCTGATGAGTGTCTTTTCGGCCAACCACAATACTAAAATACTTGCTTCTACAGTTTTATGTAATACCAAAAGTTCCCATATGCATGCCAGCATACATTAATCTTCAGTAATATCAAAGGCTGTTTCTTAATTGAAAAGAGGAAAATGAGAATCAATCATGTGATAATTTCAAGTTATTTATAGAAGAGAGAATATTCTCTCTCTCTCTCTGTTTTTTTTTTTTTTTGGGTTAGATAATCAAATAAGAGTGCATAGTCTTCTTCGTTGTTCTTTAATCCGAGAAGAAAGAACATTAGCATTAAACCAGCAGGATTGAAGAATTAGTATGTAATATTAGAATCCCACCTTAAGCAGAAAATTTGCTCCTGCTACTAGACAATCCATTTCATCTTCCTTGTCAAGATTGATCCCAAGTCTTTCCTTGAAGAGATCTGTATATTTATATGCTCCACCACCTGTGGCCTTCTCACCAGTAGATTTCAATCTTAGGAAGCACATAACATAAATCCAAGTGCTGTATGACAAGGTATATATTGTGTCATCCAGAAAAATGTTTTATTTATTCTCTTTAAGCTTGTGTGTGCAAAGACACAGATGTACCAACACAAGCTTGGAAACTAACGATGTTTTATTAATTTCAAATCATATTTTGGGACCAGTATGTAAACTGACCCCGGCATGAGCAGAAGGTGAACAAGAAAATGAACATGGAAATCGTAGGAAAGATCAACTTGAATTTGATTACTAGGTAAGGAAGAAGGTGCAAAATTTTCCGATTTTTATGAATGAACAAAGACCTGATATCAATCTGCAAAATCAAAGAGGGGAGTAGTAACTCATAAGGATACTTCATTACCTTAACAGCCGTAGTTTGACTTCCAGGATTCTCTTGTCGCTGACTACCTGAACATGTCAATAGTTACATCAATTGACCATATGTTCTGAAGAACCTTAATAGTGAATTGGATATATAAAAACACACGATCACAATTGTGAACAGAAATATATTAAATATCTTTACAAAGATTATTAATCAGCTTGAAACTCCCTGCTGTAGGTTGGCTTCGTAATCTAATAAGCTTATCCATAACCTTGGTAAATTAAAACTAGCTTCGCAGCTGAGGTCAAAGGCTACCCTTGCCCAGCTAGAGTTTCTTTACATTCAATTAGGTCTGATAGATGAACAGTTAATAGCCAAGACACCTTCAAATGGATATATATAGATTGAGTAGAGGACGGTTTAGAAATGAAGGACATTGGGAATCAGGTTTATTTTTCATTTAGCAAATAGGAAGGATAATCTTTATTCAGTCAGATTGGGATAATCAAAAATTTGAGATCAAATTAAAAGGCTTCAAATGACTAATTATATTCAGTAAGCTCTCAGGTAACGTCTGAGAAAGATTCAAATATTACTAACCTGTAGCTTGACTGCAAGCATCATAACATTTAGTTCAATTGAAATAAATACCAAGAGTTTCAAAAGCAAAGAAACAGTTCTGTGAATACCTCCAAGATGAAGTTTCATGGACTTTATAAACTCTAAACAGTCATCTATCTTGCTTGTCTCAAATATTTTAAAATTGAGCTTTCCTCTAAGAACTGCACAGCTTTTACTGCCTTTGGATTTTGCCACGGCCTTTTCAGGAGATATCCCATCCTTGCCCTCAATAGCACAATCCTCATTATCCGTAAAGTACACTAGCTTGGCAAGAGAGCCTAAAATGAAACACAACATTATTGTAAGGAAGTGCCAGCTGAGGAAGAAGCAGAACTGTTCTAGCCATGACAAATGAGCAGCAGCCTGACAAAATTACTGAATATTGGACTCCATAATAATAATCGAGCAGTTTCTTTCAACTCTGGAAAAATGTTATAAAAAAAACCAATGTCCAAAACTTAATGAGCAAATTAAAATAACAATTGATGGCGACAATAAGATATAAGCCTGAGCGAGAATGGGTTTCCATTAATTAAGGTGAGAAGCTAAATGCGTAAAGCTGGACAGTGAAGCCAAAAACAAATCCTCCAAAACCTGAATCTTGTACATCTTTCTATCAGGCATGACAAACAACCAGAGGCAGCCCATTTGCCAAGCACAATATCATATGCATTAAGATTAACAATGAGAGATATAACAATAGAAACATTGAATACTTCAAAATTTTCAGTATCCCAAGAGTATGGCCCATAAATATAGTAGAAGCAAAAGCTATCACTTTAAAAGCAAACATACAACATGAAAATGAATAACAATCAACTCAAAAACAATTACAAAAGATCTTAGCTGATTATACAACAGGATATGTACATAATTTATCCTCTGGTTTTCACCTTTGGGATCCAAAATTGATTTCTGGTAGTTGTAGAATTAGTGATAAGACTTCTTAAGCAAGCAATCGTCATTTACTACTATCAACAACCAGGACAACGTTAATTTTCAAATGATCCATAGGGAGAGCATGACTAGCTTGTGACAGTTTTCCATGTGTATCTGATCCAAACAGACTGCAATATAGTAGCTGTAGTTGGAAAGACAACTTGAGTGTCAAATGGCAGAATAGAAAAGAAGTATGAAATTTGGGAAATTATCTTAACTATGCAACTCTTGTTCTTTGAAATGCAGAGTAAAGTAGAGATAAGTTAAATCGCTAATCGAACAAGTATGTTACCCTTATTTTCTAAGAGAGAAACTGGTGGGACTTTACGTGTTTAAGTACTCATGATAGTGATAATTCAAAAAGAGAAGACAAGCACCTTTCTTCCTAAGAGAGAAACTGATGGTATTTTTTGTGTTTAATACTAACGTGATACTGGCTCTTGAGTGTACTTTGCAAAGATTGAATGCAAATCGTTGATGCTTTTCGATACAACACTTTTCAGTCTCCGTGCAATAATTGAAATGAGGAATTCATATGTTGCATTGTCTAACAAATTGGGAAGCAAAAATACACGTCCTTCTTTTGATACTTACTGTGAATATTTTTTCTCACCAATAGAAGCAATAAAGATAATGGTAATCTTGTTTGACACTATGGCTTTCTAGTCCTTTAAGTCCATGGTTTGAGCGGATATAATGTAACTAGATTAGCAGTCCCCTAATCAAGCATATTTCTAAAATTTGTGACGCAAAGGACTTTATTTTCCTAATTACAAAATTATGATAGCGGTTTTGTGGAAATACAGCAGAGAAAACGAGATTTCGTAAGTTCCTGAAATTTAGGAATATGCTAGCAAATAGTAAATAGAAGAGTTGTCTTCATTCCAGGAACAAGTTAGATCAGCAAAAGTCATAGGAAACAACTACATTAACACGATCCCGATATATTTTATCCAACGAAAATATTATCAAGTGCCATTGTCATTCTCACGCTATGGCTTGGTACATAATTAATAGCCAAACTGGATTGGTGAATATCATTCAACCAACTTGATGCATACAAACTGTAAAGAAAAATTCCAATCTCCTAGAAACTCATGATAACTTTCTATTCAGGTTACGCATGATTAGAATGCGAACGAGGTTCAGTAGGCGGCCTTAGTCGGGTTAAGATAATGAATCTTGCATATAATTATTACAATAACAAGAAGCGACACAGAAGGAGAAACAAGACGAGAGGAATTTCAATATGTCTTTACTGATTCAAAGCATTAAAGTCCAGCCCAGAAAATTGCGCAATAGAGAGATGGCAAATAGAGCACAAATAAAGAAAAGTAATGAATGAATTAAACGCTCAACTCTCGAAACTATTACAACAAAACAGAGTTTATCATAAAGGAGGCTTGAAGATTTTACCTCCAATATCCAGAGCCATCTGATATATATGCCCGGATTGGTTCGGATCGAAGTTTCCTTCATTTTCACTTTTTCTGAGATCCATGAATCTTGTTGTCCACTCTCTAAATTTAGCCGTATCTACAAATGGGTCTGTTACGCTTCTCTCGGTTTGACCCAGTCCTTTAATACAGCAATATTGGCGCCCTACGTAACTGTGCCTAACGCCCTCTCATCACGAGGGTCAAGAAGAAATAACTCACAGTAATATCCGTTACCCAAACAAAAAATTGATCGCTGTCCATCAAAAGAGACAATTGCTTTTGCTAGTAATGGGAAGTGATGTAACTCCTTTGCCAATGAATCAGATGGAAAATGCGTTGATGCTTATCTGCCCCCCATCCTGATTCATTTTACTTGTGTTTGAAAACGACTGATTCCTCCATTTCGTTGAAATCAATTGAAAGGTAGAGGAATTAAAGCTGCTAATAGTTTGGTGGAAGGTGGTTAAGGAGTAGCTGAGGAATGAGGACCCGGTCATGGGAGACTTTCTGAATTTAGAATTCATTTTTTTAAAAATATTTTTCTTTTTAATTCCTTTTAGTTCGCGCGGCACCTTTGCGTCATCTCGGGTCCCGCTCGAAGACGTTGACGAAATAAAATTTTCCCAAATCAATTGGAAATTTGGATTTGGATTACAGTTTTTTAAATTATATTCAATTTTTTTAAAAAAAAATCATACACTTTTTTTTGGGGCATAAAATACCTTTATCTAATGGTTACTTTAAAATTTTTAATAATTGAAAATTAAATAGGGTAGGGCACTAGGGCCTCAATAATAACACATATCCAAATTTTTATGGCATTTGCAATATCATACATGTTTTTCAAGTATATCACAATACGGATCATATGTCACAACATGAATCGTATTTTTAATCAAAAAGTAATTTTCATATTATCTATAAAAAGTATATATCAAACTTATCTTATCTTATCCCATCTCATTTTAGTCATTTTCTTGACTGAGAAATTAATTTTTTGAAAACAGGTATACTTTGACCATTTTTTGGCTCATTAAATTTTCAAATTTGTTGTTCAAGATGGCCAATCGAATAATAGGTTTATATGAAGCTCATTAATCAAACATCTTTATCCTAATGATTCATAGAAAAATTCTTGCATTTTGCTTAAAAGAGGAACATTTTCTTACATTTTTACTATCTAATTAACTTTTACTAAATCGTTCATTAAACCGCTAATGAAAGTCTCATGCACATATATATGTAAGAAGTATGTCAAGTAGGTCATATTATTTATGCGTCTGACTCATAAATAATACACATGTGGTTAGATTTTTCATATTATTTGTAGATATAATTTAATAAAAATTAGTAAGTTCATTAGCTAGATCTTACCTATAAAATCACCAAATTTCTTTAGTAAAAATTATAAAACAGTTGCCTATGAATTTAACTTTTTAACTAAAATATACATTACCTTGTATAAGAAATGCAATTATCACTGTATACGCTATGGAAAATTACAACGGATACAGCAAGTCCATGATCAAGGCAGAATCAATACAGTATATGCCAAAATATGATATTTAATAAATTAAAAATTAAGAAATTGCTTTAATTTCAAGATAAACCAAATGTGTAAAATGTAAAGCATGCATCAATATTCAAACAAATATATATATCACGGGATATATAATGTCAACTAGAAAACTCTCCCGTGCGTTGCACGGGTTGTGAATTATGAATAATTTTGTCATAGTTTCACAATGCACACAAAATTACAAGACATATTTTGAAACAAATATAACAATAAACAACAACCTACAAGAAGTATATCTTATTTTATATGTATATCTATATATATATATATATATATATATATAACACTACAAACCTTGACTACCACCTTCTTAAGATCAACCTCTGAACAATGTACAAGTTCGGATGCATGACGGTTGAAGAACAGTATGGAACGCTTTGCAGTAGAATCAAAAACTGTGTAATGAAGCCTGAACCTTTTCAAAATAAAGGTTCAACTGTTAACAGGAAGTGTTATGAAAATCCATAGTTAAAGAATGATGACATTAGTTGAAACTTACTTGGATTCGGTCATTAGCACTTCCCTATGATAAGAATTACATTCAACTTATCACCCTCATATGCTAGTTTTTTATCGCAGGGACATTCATCATAGTACCAACCATAAGATGTCTCATGTTTTTAGATGGTTACTTTGGTAACAACTTCTGATGCTTAATAAATTACATGGAAATAAAGGTTAGTAATTTAAACGTTCAAACATTTAAAAAGTAATTACCATGACAAAAAGCTAATGAAATGAAAATACTGGCCTCTGTTAATCTAGAAATTTCACCCAATGGAATTCTAGTAGGAAAAGTTAAGAGAGAGTCACTGGTAATCTCAGGTGATATAGTAGAGGAGATTTGTGAGAAAGCCTGACTTGCTCGAGGCATATCATTGAGGCTGTGAAAGGAAGCTGAGATTTAAGTTTTGCAACACCATAGTGTGTGTGTGTGTGTGTGTATAGACTTACAAGACAAATGCTTGATTAATATAAAACAACAATAAGTTTTTACCTGTCAATGAAACTCCTAACCTCTAGAAAATCTAGATTGAAATAAACTCTTGTTACATAAAAGACATTAGATATATGTCCATAACCTTGAACCAAAATTGAAATTGAAGTGTAAGTCACATAAAAGAAAAACATGAATAAGTGAGATACTGCTAACAATGTACAATACTTTTTCTCTTTTCAATCTTAGCAAACTGTAGGACAACTATGGTGCGAACTTCTAAATCATCTGTCTTGGCCTCAAATGTCTTTTTTGTGACCTCCCCAAAAAGAAATAAACTTACCCAGATTTCACTACAAATAAACGATAGTAAGATAAGAATATGTCAAATTGACATCCAATCATCTATTTTTATCCTCACTTGTTAGAGGTCCTAGATAAGAAAAAAAGTATGTTACTTTTGATCAGCAATGGTGAGAGCCAATTTCTTCGTTGTTCTAGACTCATTTTTATGATCAACCAAGTTCCCAAATGCTTGCAAAAATCCAATAATATCTGCATGAACTTGTTGAATCAGTAAGAAGAAATTGAAATAGATATAATGTCACTCAAAACGTGAACATGCACTGGATACAATCAACGAAAACAATATAAGAAAGGAATGCTAACCAACTAATTCATTGTTTTTGGCATTGTTGTTGGCAATGTCCTTGATTGGAACAAAGTTAAATGCATACAGGGGGATTGGCGAATCATGCTCTTGAAAAAATATCATTGCATGGAACATAATTTTGCAAGGATCATCATTATCCACAATTTCAAAGTTCTTAAATTGATAAACCCCACCATCTACTAAATCTTTGACATATCTTTGTATATGTCCTTTACGAGCAACCGAAGCTTTAATCCTATCACCCTAGTTGCATAGAATACAATGAAATGAGTTCATTGCATATATATTTTTTCAATGAACAAAACAATATTATTATTTACTAACCTTTTCGTCGGATAAAATCATACTAACTTTCCAAACATCAAAAGGTGGGGACTTCTTAGCTACTGTCCACTTCCTTAGCATTCTAACAATGATACACCACGTTTCTTTGCTACAATCTATGTCCTTAATCAGATCGTGAGGGAAGTTCACCACTTGCTTTGACATCGAATTATGAAACTGTGTGAGGACAAGTTAATTGAGAGAAATGTTAGCAAATAACGTGAAAAGAATGGATTAATTATGGGGAGCGTTGTAAATAAAGTGAAAGAAATGGTGGGGAGCGTTGCCCTTTTTATCATGTTATAATCTTCACAATGAAAATTAATTGGTCAAAAAGATGACGTAATTAATACCATGCACGTCAAAGGGATCAATGGGTTAATTAGAGAAATTTATTTGAAAATCATATGAGAATCAATTTACTTCATTACCTTGATTTTAATTTAACATTGTCCTCAGTGTTCTCTAATCCATACAGTTTGAATGGAAATGGGGATTCTAATTTCTCAATTTGATTGTCCAATTGAATTCTCATTTGATTATAATTATAATGCACCTTATTTAATCTAATATGTACAAATCTCGTATAATTGAATATTTTTGGATGGACATTGAAATCATCATTTAATTTAAGTCAATTATTAGGACGGGTGCCATCATTCCTTATTGAATTAATTTATAATCAAACTGTTCTTATTATCGACAAAAGATATTTTTTTTTTGAAAAAACGTGTTATTTGTCAAATGTTATTTTGAATGTTATTATTACAACTAATATAATTTTCAAAATCCATTTTCAATCTAATATAATTAATATATACCATAAAAGATATTGTATTAATATCCCAATCAATAAATTAGGAAATCCATTTGAAACATAATAATTTCATTGTTTTGAATTTAATTGGTTAATTCTTTAATTAATAATTTCTTATTAATGCATTTAAATAACACGCTTTTTAAGAATAATATATTTTGAATTGTAATATGATTTTTTTAATAATACACTAAGCAAAATACATTGATTGCAAGATCCGATCCGACTGAATATCATATGGGTATTACAAGAATTCTAATATATAGTTGATAAGACGTGCTAAAACCTAATTCTTCTGTACAGTGAATTATTCTTCTTCTTATTTACAATATAAAATACTTTAATTAATTCATCAAAATTAAGAAATGATAGTTACCTTATTAAATCTGTTTCAAATCAAAATTTGCCCCCCAATTCTACTCATATATTAACTGAGGTTGTGAAAGAGAGAAAAAATTCAAAAAAATTATATATAAGTATTAATTAATTAGAAGAGTAAGATTAACAAATAATCATTAATTACTTTTTAAGTGATTTATATTGTAGATCAATAAAATTTTGTAAAAGTGACTCATATTATAGATAGCAAGGAGTATAATTGATGAAGTGTGAATAGCATGCATTTTTATAAATGTTATATGGCTTGCCATCTTTATTGATATATAGGTGACATAACATGAGGCTCATATAAATTAATTACTTACAAAATAGTTTTTTTCCCCTAAAAAATTAAAAAGAATTCATGGCAGCTTAGGTCTGTGGGATCTGCAAATCTCATAGGTCCTTCTATTCTCCACTTCTCCCTTATGTATATCGAGGTTCACGAGAATAAATAAAAAAAATGAGAGCTTGTAATTAATGTCACAAATAAGGTTAGTTAGTGAGGCAAGCAGTCAGTAGCTTTCTTAATTAATTAATTAATTACCAGTATAATACCATATCAGTCCCAGCTAATAATGCAGTGCTAATCGCGCAAGATCATCCGATGTGTTTTTAACGTGGGGCCGACTATATCTGCACGGACCCACTGTGCAAATAAACAATATGTCAGCTACTAATTTTTTTTTATCCGAGTTATTACTTAAAGGAGTCCAATAATTTGTGTATCATTTTACTTAGCTTTAATAATACTTATGAAAAATGTAGATATATATTACTTCCGATCTTAATTATAACATCCTATTTATAGACTATAAATAGGATTTTAAAATTAAAACAGGAGCTAGTACATTCTTACTCTCTTACATACATAATGAGCCTGTTTAGAACAGCTCATAAGTAGCTTATAAACTACTTTTCAATTGTGGTTTACGGAATACGAGATAAGTATGTGAAATGAGTTTTGTTTCGATTTATGTGAAACATGCTTATAAGGGATTTTCACCGTTCAGCCAATATTATAATTTTTTTTAAAAAAAAGGACTAGATTCCCCTCCGATTGCCACCATTAGAAAAACGGGAGTTTGACTACAATTTTGGTTTTTTTTTTTAATGTAAGATCATAATTTACTTACTGAAAATTTTTAAAATTAAAAAAATTGGATGAAACTTGACACAAAACGTAAAAAAGGAAGTCATAATGTTCATTATTTATTGATAGCGTGGTCTTTAACAGATTTTATATTCATATTGATTATATATTGAATAATCTGTTGATAACAAAATTCAAAGTTTTCAATTTAAAATAAAAAATTGGCACTTTTCAGAAGAAAGTTTGAATTGAAATTGAAGTAAATGTTCGGCCCAAAAAATTGAAATTAAAAACAAAAGGACTTCAAACGGATTCGCGCGCATGCCCGGGCTTGGCCCCAAACGTTAGCACTGGGAAAACGGGCCGGCCCGGCCATACAGGGCCAGCCCGTCACGGGCTCGGGCTTAAACGGACTGGCCCGTTTAAGCCCGAGTTCCAAAAATGAAGCATTTTCTCAAGCCCGGCCCGTGAGAGATAACGGGCTCGGGCCAGCCCGCGGGCTTTTGGCCCATTTAACTAAAATGTATTTTTATTATTTTTTTACCTATTTTATCGAAATAATAAAAATGAAACAATAAAATTACTAATAAAAGATATAAATATAAAAAAAATAAGTCACAAACATAAACACCATTATGTCAAAACATCTATCACAGTGTAATGGAGTTTATTGAATGAACAAACTAAATAGAGGACAGACATAAACAACTAAATAAACACTAAGTTCAGTAAATAATTACAATATGGATGATCTTGTTTAATTATAAATAATTAACAAAAAAGTTTAACTAACAAACATAGTATACATAAAAAATAATTGTTTGTCCTACTGATAAAAAAGAAAAGAGTTCATCATTCCTAGTTCTAAATTTGTTTCTAACTATAAAAATGATATAGATCTTTATTTTAATTTAAAAGATTCTTTAACCAATTCTATTTCAAGTATAAAACATATGAAAGAATGATAAATAAAGATTGTAAAATAACACATACAGTATTTTAATAGGTTTTGACAACTTATAAATAATAACACATTTTTGTTAATATACTTAGAATTATGGTGATTTCTTTTTTGTGAATGCCATTTGTGTGAGCAGTGGGGGTAAAGTAAAACTAAGAGTATATTATGTGTAAAATGTTAGGGTTTTCCTTTTTAAGTTAAGAAAACAATATAAAATTTTTTAAAAAAATATTGGCGGGCTTAAACGGGCCGGCCCGTTTATTTTTCGGTCCTACAGGGCTGGTCCTTTTAAGCCCGACTTCCCTTTTAAGACTCCAAAATACAGCCCGGCCCGCGACTTAAACGGGTTTAAACGGGCCGGCCCGACGGGCTCGGCCCGTTTTCCCGGCTCTACCAAACGTGCAGGAAACTAAGAACAAATTCATTAGCGAACTACTGATTTGCGAGAGACAGAGGAAGGAGTTTCCAATGGAGTTTTCTTCTGTTAATGCTCTTTGCCTTCATGTAAGTTTGATATTCTCAACATAATGAATTCACCTCTTTACGATTATGTCAATGCAATTGCTTTCTCTGGCGTTCTCACTCTTGATTCTTCGGTTTGTTCGGATACTTGGATTTATGATTGCAGCTGATTTCTTTAGCATTCCAAAGATGCCGATTATCTGAGCAGATTTGCAGATTATCAGTCATCCTCAATCGCTCCTCCTCTTCGCAGCATCCTTCCGTTCAAATTTCGAGTTAGCCTCTCTCGCTGTACCTGAGAGCATGGGACTGAATTTACATATTTGATATTAATTTTTGTGTCTTGACTCTGTTAGCTATAGGAGATTACTTTTAAAATTTCAGACACCTAGGATTTTCGGGATATTAAATTAATAAACACTTTGATTTGATAAAAGATAAATAAATTAAAAATGAGTCAAAACGACGTCCTTTGCAGTTTTTGACTTATCTGATTTTCGAATTACTACTCCAGGAGGTTGATGACTTGATATATAAAATCTCGTTTTTATGCGTTAACATACGATTTCATTACTTTGGAAAAGTGGTGTTCTCATCATGTGTCAGGGCAGTTGACCTCAGGCAACTAAAAGAAGATGAAAACATGTTGACCGAACTCAAGTGAGATGATTTGACCAAGTATTCTGGGTTCAAGCCTCATCCGGAGCTTGGTCAATCTGCTTTGATGCTATGTTGGAGAATTTCTATCTATCTTAGATGCCTTGATTAATATTATGATTGATGATGGCATCTTCCATAAACCTTTAATTGAGTGGTATCTGGTTGAAGCAGTTTCTGATACTGGTATTGGAAGCTGCTTAAAAGAATTTCAAGACTTGAATTTTTCTTGGGGAGGTATTACTGAGAAGTGGGGTAAGTGAAGTTTCGCGGTTGACACAGTACATTTGAATTTTCGGTCTTCAGCTTCCATGTACTTATTTACTTATTTGTTGTTTGTTATGCTCCTTGTGACAGATGGAATGCTTAGTGTTAACACCACGAGTGAGTTTAATGCTCCCTTATTGTGCTTTGTCTGATTTAACACTGTCGAATTATATGGAGTTGGAGATTTGTCGAATGTTTTGCTTACTGTCTTAGTTCCTTGTGATCCTATACCATAATTTCAGAGTGATTTACAGTTCGACAATTCGTTTAATTGAATTGCAGAATAAATTACTGCTTAATTTCACAATTGTCATCGGAATTGTTGACAGAGTATAATGACATTGCAGGCATCAGTGATCCTGAGATTTATAATTACCAATTTAGTTTGAAGGAGAATCGTTCTTCCAGAAGAATAAATAGGCTACCTTCATACCAAAAAAATGGCGCAAAATTCAGGTTTCAAGATGCTTAAACTAGTAGTATATATTTAAGGCATTATACGCTCGTCTAGTTTCTTTTAACTTTGCAACTACCCTACATTGCAGTGGCACTGAAGTTTTCCTGTCTTTTGCTCAAAGCCTAGATATTTTACTGGCTGATGTTCGTAGCTTTTTGCAGAAGGTCAGTTGAATTTCTAGTGCCATTTCATTAATTCTTCTACAACACAATGCTAGAAAATTAGATAGATAGGTTAACTGATATATCAATTTAATCATTTGAATAATGAATTATATATCTCTACTATCATGAGATAATACAAGCAACTGCACTTAGACATTTATCTTTGTGGAAAATTTAAGGGGAACAAACTAAGATCAAACTCCATTTAGCCATATGTTTTGGCCATTGGAAGTACACAAACCTAATCTGGTTAAATTCTGCTATAAGCTATAAAGCTAACGCTGCAGAAAGTATGATATCTGCTTTCTCTGAATGTCGTTCAGCAGTATAAAATGGTCTGTTCCGGCAGAACAAAAAAAGTATAAAAAGGTCTTAATATCAGAATTAGAAGTCAACTTCAGTGACCTTGACTGTACCAGTTCTTGTATATAAGCTGCACTTCTCCCCCCTTGTAGAGAGCAATTTTTGTCCTTTAAACCATAACTTGATTGAGTAAGCAAAGAGTATGTGTGCTAATGTGGAGTGCAATAACGCACCAAATATTCATAGGAAGAATTTTCTGAAAAGGAAGTAATATCAGTGCCAGCCAGATAAATGGAGGTAGCTTTGGCTAGCATGAATTTGCTGCAGTTTCCTTCATTCATTACTGATTACTGCATATCAAAGGACACTGTTTTGTTTCAAAGGACTTCATTCATTGAATTTCTGTTCGCTATGCTTTTTGGCAACATATTGGTCTGTTTTGATTATTTATTAATAATATATTTCTCTTTCTACTTATGGAATTTCTTTTTCCTTTTGCAGATGCTTATTCTAAGGATTCCTGTAAGTTAAACCGACATAAATGCAGATTGCTGCAGTATTCTCATATTCTTTCGAACATGAATTAGATGCAGTCTATTGATGCCTTGCTGGTGCCGCTTAAAAGCATTTATTCTTGATTTCGCTATCAATAATTATTAATTATGCCAAATTAGAATGCTAAACTCGATGATCCTATAATCTGCTACAGAACCCTTGATCAAGACGTTGGGACGGATCTAGTAATTATAGCTTTAATATTTCATTCAGAATATTGCCCTACAATTGGTGGCGGAAGATTCTGACGTTCCAGGATCACGATACGAAAAGGTTTTTCTTGCAAATAAGCCCATGCAGTCACCTATTTTGGCATCAAATCTTCAACATCTGAAATCAGGCTTTGAAGAATATGTCTTAACGCATGGGAATAGTTTAAATAGCAAGTGTAATTCTTGCTTCCCATGTTGGTAAGTCCATAATCTCATGATCAGAACCCCAGTTATTATTTAGAATCTATGATTTTATTCTGATGTTGGTAGATTGATTAATATGCTGTGGTTAAGTCCGTCAGCAGCCGACCCTTACTATTCTATACATTAAGTAAGGTTACAACTAAAGTATCCTTTATATACCGTTCTAATGTGCACAGAGAATGCAATCATTGTAGTTCTCATGGTAACAAAAATCCAGTTTCATACATGTACGTCGCATTATCTGGTGCAGCAAACCAGTTAAATCCTTCACCGGAAGTACTACTGTTTAAGGTTGTTTCTGCTGAATTCTACAAGGTGTTGTCGTTCATTATGTAGCAGCACCCAAACTGTGATATGATCAAAGTAATTAATCTTTTTTGTGTCTCACATCAAACTGCTTCTTTTGTGAAATTTTCCCTGTTTTATTAATCTTTAGTTAGATCCGTTGAAAATGATGTTGATATGTAATATCACATATATTTGGAGGCAAATTATCTCACAATATTTACTGACACAAAAAAGTCTCACATTAAGTAGAATTGGAGTTAAGAAACTATGTTCTCCATCCATAATTCTGAGAGAAGTTCAAAATCTTCATTTTCTTGGTAATCAGAAAAGAATCTCTAGATTCACAAGTCATGTACTGATAGACTTGGAACTATTTACCTTGTGAGCCTTTGTTAGGGAGCATCTCAAGGTTGGGAGTGGACGAGCATGCTGCTCGGAAACTGAACTGGTGATGGAAGCAGTGATAGTAATAAGTAATGTATCAAAGGACAACAGTACATGCTTGAGAGAAAGTGGTGATAAAACAGAGGTTCTTCACTATATTTCTTGAGCTATAAGTTTCAGTTCTGTTTTGTATTGAACAATAAATAATCAACAGTAGCATTTACATGCAAGTCAGTCTACCGGTAGTGCGTGTATGTGTACAGACAAACTAGGATATCTGGCATTAACTTTTGTATGCTCATTATCTTTGATAGTTTGGGGAGGCAGCTTAGCTCCATGTTAATGTTTGTAAAGTTAGTTTGTGGATATTGCTTTCAACATTTATCTGGTATGAGATCAATATTGTCATGGAAATATCTCGTACAGAGTTACTGAAAAAGGTTTGCATTGTCATAGATGTTTATGATACGCTGACATTGATGATACTTTTGAGATTAGCCATCCATGAAAAATGTTTGCAATAAGCTGAAAAATATCCAAGCAGAAGACAATATTTTCTGAAGTTAAAAGAAGTGATGATTCATTTTTACTAAAAAGTCAAAGATCATTATGGAGATTTGTCTTCATTTATTTATTATCCTTTTTGGACGCTCTATGTTTGTTATTTCCCAGATTCGATTTATCATCCAATTAATGATGGCCTTGTCCAATATCAGGTTATGTATTTCAAAGATTTCTCACCTTGCACAATTCCTCAATCATCTATGAAGGCGTTGAAAAGCGTTGGCTGGAGAAGATATGGTTTGAATTTAACAGGCACAGCGCAGCAAGATGGCCGTGCATTACTAGAATGGGAAAACTTGCCAACGGATACTCAAATTGATATTGTGCTTCACTCCTATCATCAACAATATCCAGCTTCTTCTGAGAAATCATTTGATGCTTTTCTTGAACAGACACATTACTGCATAGAAAGTAGCGCATATTTCAGTACGGAAATAGTACTTTATCTCTTGCCTATAGTACAGTTCGAAAAACATCTTGCTTATAGTAGATAAACTGGAGGACATATTTCTCCACATGCATTTAAGAATGAAAAATTTCTTCGTGCGACTGTGGTGCTTATATAATTTCTTAATTTAAATGTGATAAACTTCCTTGACCTTTTGTTAAGACCATGATACGGGCACCAAGGAAAGAGTCTCAAACTGGTAGGAATCTTGTTAAAAGAGCCGTTAAACTCTCATTGGATGACTTGAAGAACAAGCATGCAGGAGCTCTTTTAAGTGCCCGTGCTACTAAGGTGAACCCTCTTCCTTCTTTTCTTCATCCCCCCTCCCCCTTCCCAAAGCACAAAAGCACACATTCACAAGCATATGTGAACACACGTCATGGGCCCTAATTGCTTCTATTGTCGAGTGTTTTCACTCTCACACCAAGACATATCAAACTCGCTTTACCGTATCAAGTTTGCAATTCTTTCAATTTTACCTTTTCTAATATCTTTATGGCCCTTTTATTTTAACTTAGTGGGCTCCTTATGCCTTATACAGAGTTTGACAGATAAGTCCTGTTATTTATAACTTGTAAATTTGATATAACCTGCTGAAATAAAACAACAACCAGAATAGGAAAAGTGTACTGCAATAGTAAATGAGGAGAAATACTGAGGTTTTGCCTGTTAAATGTCAGAAGGAACTGAATTAGTGCTACAAAAAGATTCTCATTGATTTTGGCCAAAAGCCTTTTCCCCAATACAATCATTACAGCAAGCAACTCTGACAAAATACACAAAATACTGATGCAGAACCAATAAAAATAATGATGCAGAACCAATATGCACCCTTGGCTTTCGAGAGGCCAGTCTCTCCTCTCCACACTCAGTTTTCCAGCTCTGGCAGAATATCATAGCCTATTGCAAATTTTATTACATATCGAATACTGATGATATTGATTTGGCTTCTTACAATTCCAGATCTGCAGTTATGCCCCTGATCTGGGAAAAACAATTGCCGGTTTGATTTTGTCCTCTAATGACCTGGAATTCCAAGGAGAATGCTTATCACTTCTTGGATTACAGTCTCAAAGAGTAGGAGCTGAAATTGTGGAAAACCGTATTGTACAAAGGATTGTTTCAGTGATAGAGATGAACGACAAAAAGGATCAGAAAACTCAAGAAGCTGCACCTTTCCTTTTTGATGACGACCGTCTCCGGGAAGAAGAGTTTCAAGAAAACGATGAAGGTGATTATAACATGACGGCACTAGGAGATTAAAGTTTTATATATTTTACAAATTAGCCAGACGCTTCATTACTGAATCATCTTTCTTTTGATGAAGTACGCCGAACCATTGGTTATTGAGGTAATATAAATCTGTCAATCTCTCTTTTTTTTGCCAACAATATAAATCTGTTAATCTGCTCATACATGAGTCCTGATGCTTGGGTTTTTCATTAGCATTTAGGATACAAACGATTGTTAAATAGTCACAATTTATCTTGTTTTTGTTTTTCTATTTTATAACCATGGCTTAATAGTTTATTGTGGAAGATTCAGCTACGACAACAATGAATGCCGTGCACCGTGCGCTGCACAAGAAGAAACATGAGACCGCATATTAATAATAATAACTTGTTATGGGCTTCTTTAAAAGGTATGGAGTGTATTAAATAGGTCAGAAAAAGTGGTGGGTTTAAAAAATAAGTTAAAATTAGTTAAAAATAATAAATATGTAATAAATAAATTTACTTTTTTTTTTCAAACATGTCTTTATTTATAAGGGGCCAGTAAAAAAAAGTATGAAAGAGAATATAGTAAACCTTTTAATTAATACAATATATAAAATTAATTCGGAATATAAATGGTAAAAATACATTAAATTCTCAAACAACCATAGGTAAAATCTTATAAAAAGGATTAAGGTAATTCAAATTTCAAGTTCTTATAAAAAAGATCAGAGGGTGTAGTAAATAGGTCACTCATTTAACAATTCATAAATATTGGAGTTTTATATAAGGAAAAATAACAAAAAAGAAACTAAAAATTATTAAATCTCAAACCAGGTTTAGTAATAACACTTCATTTTATGTTGATAATATTGAATTTGTAAATAATAACAAATTTTTTTTATATTTCTTGTTTGGCATTTAGTATTTTTTAGCTTTTTTTTTTTATCGTTTTTCCTTTATATTATATAATATATTATTAATAATTTTTTTAACATAAAAAGGATTTAAACCCTTAATCTATACTTACACCCTACACCACTTGTATCTTTCGTGCTAAGTCCAAATTATTGGCAATTTAATAGAGTTTTTATGCTAGAAAAATTATACAATTTTAGGTAATTTAAGTTATTATGTCTTTTGTGGCCAAACAAAAAGTAATTTTGTCAATATTAAAGTATCTAGTTGAAAATAAGTTTAAACCTTCTGCACCCTGCGGCACTTACTGAGTAGTGCAATTTTCAGTTGTCCTAATACAAACTAAATTAGTTACGTTCATAATTTATTGCACGACGCATCGCCAAGAAAAAGGAAAGAAAAAAACCAACAACCAAAAACCAAAAACTCAAAAATGCCTTCTTCCGCGACCGAATTGGCGCCACCATCTTCCCTGTCGTTGCTATTTGCCCATTTCCACAGACCGCAAGGAAGGCTTTTCAGGTGAAGTCGTTTTTTGCTGGCGGGGTTCCCTCTGCGACGGAGCAACTATCAAAGGGAAGCGATTATTACAGCATCATCCAAGGGGTTTTATTCAAATGTGGCCCAACTCCTATTCAGGTACTTCTTTTATGCTTCGTTGATTTATTGTTTTGGAAGTGGGGATTGAGAGTTGTAAATTTAGTTTCACCTAGACATCGTTTAGCTTTCTGCTTATTTCTGTCATCTCCGGGATCGCATGTGCTGTCATTTTTCTCTTGTCTTGAAATGTGCGTGAAGAATTAAACCTGCATGTGTCACTGAAATATTAAACCTTCAAGTGGCATTGAAAAGTCAAGCCTGCGAGTGGAAGAGCAAATCAGAAATATCTTTCATTCATGTACACACTTAACTCACCTCTCAATCCTGGTCAAGTTCAACTCTCACTTTCTGCGATAAAACAGAACAGTACTTTTTATTTGATTATTTGTTTTTTTTTTCCTTGCAGCTTAAACATTAAATTTGTTGGGAAACAGAAACTGGGTATAAACGCAGTCGATTAAACACAAATTTCAGCGCCAAATACTCACATTGAAGGGAGCTTCAACTTCATGAAAGCTAGTTCTTTTCTTTCTCGTCAATTTTCACAATTACAAGTCTTGCTTTCATCGCTCCAAAAATCTTTACTGTTACCAGTAAATCTAAGTCTTGAAGAACTTATTGGCAAAGCATTAGACCAATATCCTGCAGTCAAAACCTTAAAGAATGTCCACTCTATCATATTTCGTTGCCATCTTCATCTAGACCCCTCTCTCGGAATCAAACTGATGAGGGCTTATGCTGCTAGAGGGGAAGTTCACCTGACACGCAAGCTGTTCGACGAAATTCCTGCAAAGAATGTTGTTTTCTATAATGTCATGATAAGGAGCTATGTGAACAACCACTTGTACAATGATGCACTGGAAGTTTTCAAGACCATGATTAATGGTGGCTTAGGTCCGGATAACTATACATACCCTTGTGTCCTAAAGGCCTGCTATTGCTCTGAAAATCTAAGATTTGGGCTGCAACTTCATGGGGCTGTGTTAAAGGTTCGACTTGATTCGAATTTGTTTATTGGAAATGGTTTAATTTCCATGTATGGGAAATGTTGTCATTTATTCGAGGCACGACGAGTATTGGATGAGTTGCAAGGCAAAGATGTTGTTTCCTGGAATGCAATGGTTGTCGGGTATGCACAAAATGGACAATTTGATGACGCACTTGAGATTTGCCGGGAAATGAAGGTGTCAGGACAATGGCCTGATGCTGGTACGATGGCTAGCCTCATGCCAGCTATAAATAACACATCATCTGAAAATGTTTCATTTGTTAAGGATATGTTCATGAATTTAGAGAAGACGACTTTGGTCTCATGGAATGTGATGATAGCTGTGTTTGTAAAAAATTCAATGCCCAACGAAGCTGTCAAGTTATATTTACAAATGGAAAAAAATAGGGTGGAGCCTGATGCGATCACCTTGGCTTGTGTTACGTTAGCCTGTGGGGATCTTTCGGCTCTGTCGCTTGGGAAAATAATTCATGAATATGTTGAGAGGAAGAAACTATGCCCCAATGTGATATTAGAGAATGCATTGATAGACATGTATGCTAGGTGTGGATGTCTAGAAGATGCAAGGGAAGTGTTTGACAGAATGAAGTTCCGTGACATTGCATCATGGACATCATTGATATCTGCTTATGCTATGACTGGGCAAGGTCGCAATGCTATCTTGCTCTTCAAAGAAATGCAAGATTCGGGTTTAAGTCCTGATTCCATTTCTTTTGTTGCTGTTCTCTCTGCTTGTAGCCATTCGGGTTTACTGGATGAAGGGAAGTTCTACTTTAAACAAATGACGGTTGATTATAAAATAGCCCCAAGGATTGAACATTTTGCATGCATAGTGGATGTCTTGGGACGTGCTGGGCAGGTTGATGAGGCCTATAATTTCATCATACAGATGCCTTTGGAACCTAATGAGAGAGTTTGGGGTGCTCTGCTTAGTGCTTGTCGCGTGTACTCCAACATGGATATTGGGCTTTTAGCAGCTGATAGACTTTTTCAGTTGGCCCCTGAGCAGTCAGGTTACTACGTGCTGTTATCTAATATATATGCAAAGGCTGGTAGATGGAAAGAAGTAACTGCTATTCGATCATTAATGAAGAGAAGAAAACTTAGGAAAACACCTGGAATCAGCAATGTTGAGCTGAATAATCAGATTTACACCTTTCTCGCTGGTGATAGATCTCACCCACAGTCAAAGGAGATATATGAAGAACTAGAGGTATTGGTGGGAAAGATGAAAGAATTAGGTTATGTCCCTGAGACTGATTCTGCTCTTCATGATGTGGAGGAAGAGGACAAGGAATACCATCTAGCTGTGCACAGTGAAAAGTTAGCTATTGTGTTCGCTATTTTGAATACACAACCTGGTTTTCCAATCAGAATTACAAAGAACCTTCGGGTCTGTGGAGATTGCCATATTGCTGCCAAGCTTATCTCCAAGATAGTTGAGCGTGAAATTATTGTTAGGGACACTCATCGATTCCACCAATTCAAAGATGGGATGTGCTCTTGTGGAGACTATTGGTGAGAGCCAACCTGATCAGTCTCTAATCGAGACTTTAACATTATTATTGACGGACTATTTAAGGCTTTATGGGGTCAAATTTTGGATCGAATATCATCTGAAGCTAATTGCCGTGAACTGCAAATCGGCAACTCTGGTGATCCTGTACATTGCTCAGCACACAAAAACAGATCCTGTATATGTAATACGATGGCCTGAGAAGATTGAGTATCTTGTTGAAGGAGTTTCTGATACCGGTATTGGAAGCTGCTTGAAAGAATTTCAAGACTGGAAGTTTTGTTGGGGAGGTATTACTGAGAATTGGGGTATGTGAAAAATTTGTCGTTAACACGATAAATTTGAATTTTCGTTCTTTAGCTTTCAATTATTTATTTACTTATTTGTTGTTTGTGCTCCTTGTAACAGATGGAATGCTTCGTGTTGACGCCACCAGTTTATTCTTAAATATCTAGGTTGCATGAGCACAAGATACATGGGCACCTAAAATTTCCATGAGCTTAGTCTTCCAAATAGCCGTAAAATTGAAATGATTGAAGGAGGTTCATATGCGTGTACAAGATTTTATCGGACTTTTGAATACATTCCAGCATTTGTAGTAATAGCGTATTAGTTAGTCGTAAAATATTCTGGATGTTTAGCCAAATCGCAATAAAGTAAAATCTAAAATATCGTGTACAACATCTTTTTACATAAGCAAAACGCCATGGTTTCCAATATATTGACAAGAAGAACGAGACAAAGCACGCCATCATACACTGCATATCCAAATCAATGAAGTCCATTAACAAACCTCTATATATTTCTAACTACATCTTTGTCCAAGATCAAAGCCTAGCTTCATCCAACAGTCAAAAGAGGAGAACAAATATAAGATAGTGATGGCCCTATAACACCAGCTTTAGGTATGGTTTCTTCTCAAGCAGCAGGAGGAGCAGGAACGAAAGAAATTTCGGGCTCTTCAGAAATGGAAGCCATAATTGGTGATCTTGATAAAGACTCTTCCTCAGCCACAACCTGCAAATGTTGAGCCTTAAAATCAAGGGATTTATCATTGTAAATGTTCCACCATTTTGCAACTAACATCTTTATGTCTTCCCTGTCCATGTTAGCTTCCTTGCCAGTGTACCTCCATGGTTTTGAACCCTATTTACATATAGAAAATGGAGATTTATAAGTCCTTTTTTTTTTTGTAAATCAGCACTCATGTTTATTTTTATTAAAAAATTGTGACACGTCACTTACGGTTGCACAATAGTGGGCCACCTTAACCTTTGTCAGGTCCACATTCTCTGGATGACGCCATAACATAGGCAAAACCAGGTTGTATTCCAAAGGTAGAGGCTTGTATCGCTCTTGGAAGAGCATATTCAGAAAATCCTATTAAGCCATTATTCCAGAAGTTTCAGTCAAAATTTGGTCTCCTTCGTTATCTTGAAAAGGTTAATAAAACATTAAGGTGTAAAAAATTGTCTTTCATCTTTCTTTTTGTCAAAATCGAATTGAAAACCTCTGTTGTGCATTGTGTGCGCGTAGTGGAGGTTTTACTCTTTGCAAAATGGAGTATGTTTAAAAGAAATATACATTAAAGAATACGGCTGTGCATATCGAACCTACATCTCACAATTAGGTATAAGACTTAAAATTTGGAAAAAATATAACTATAAAAAAATCTCATAACAAGTTAATGATAAGTTTTATTATAGAAAATGACAATGAAGTCCATTTTGCTTATTTGTTATTGAGACTTCTTCATGATTATGGAGATCTCATATTCGCTTTTTTTTTTTTCCTCTATCTCTCTCTAAATGCATTTTTTCAATTTATTTTGTGATTTTAGGGGATCCGAATAAAACTTACTTGCTCAGCAAAAGGAGTGGGAGGAGTGAGCTGGAGAGTGTGAAGAAGGCTGTGATAGGTAATTGGATTTGGCTCAAACACAAACATGCCAGCATTGAAATACAATGGAGGAGGAGACCCCATATGTGCAGGCCAAGCAACCTTACCCGGACATTGTTGGCAATATCCAACCTTGTACTGTGATGAGTGGCTCCATGTTATCTCACAGAAGCAGTCCATCACTGCATACAAGTATCCATCCTCTGTGTCGAACAAATGGTCTATGTTGTCGTATACTTGTATGTCTGCATCCAAATATATCATCTTCCTGTATCCTTCCAACTGCACAAATACACGCATTGAAAAAAGAAAAAAAGAAGTTAACATTTGGTTTACTTACATGACAAGTATACAGTAAAGGCCATTTGTCGAACACAAGAAAAGCAAAAAAAGAGATAAACCTAATCTATGATATATACAAATAGAAAGTGACCCAACAAAGATTGAAGAAGAAAGGTGTTTGGCACTCACATTCCAAATACGAAGCTTGGAATAGTTGATGACATAATAGGCCATGGCGAATTGAGTTTGATTCGGAGGAGGATAGATTGGTTCAATCTCATGAACAATACAGCCCTGAGACCTCAAAATCTGAAGATGCTCCTCAGGAACATCAGGCAAAGTAGCAACTACTAAAGGATATGCACTTTTCACTTTACGTAAACCCTTAGCCAAACCCACCACACCTTTTATATAATCTCCATTTCCAGCCAAAAATGTCACATATGCTTTCTTTAAGCTCTCTCCGTTTGGCTTCGTGCCTGTTCCTGCAATCACCTCCTTTGTTAGTTCTTCATCGGCCATTTTATGAAACACTGATTCTAACTTCAATATGAGACACAATATGATAAGAACACTGTGACAAGATCGGATATATTGGTCTGAAAAAGGCTTGTATTGTATATATGATTTGAAGTCGCCAAAAAAAAAAAAAGTCTATGTAATTTTAAGAAGGCTTTGTTTTTGAAGCATCAGTGTTTCCAGAAGGTGGGATTAATGCATAGCTTCGTTGAAGAAGTTTGTAGGAAGAGGATAAATTTGAGAAAAGAGAACAGAGAACCAGGAAATACGAAATAAAATTAAAGCTAAGTTTGATTGCTATGATGGTGGTCTTGCCCTTGTTTATATAAACTTCAAATGGCTAGCAAATGCATGTTAAATTCACCCCAAATGAAATTCCAAACCGGACTTTCTTATGTTTATCATGTTGCGCTGTTAAAAAAATGGTTTAGTGATCGTGACGATATAACTTATTTGATATGGATAAATTAATTTTAAATGTTATTAAAGAATTCATGCCATGTGCAATAAAAATAATAATAATTCAGAGCAAGTGTGGGAAATTGATTGGGGAAAAAAAACTCTTCCGATCCTTAATATAAGACCCAATTGTTGAGTTGGTTTTTATCCTAAATATAAAACATATTTCTCATATTTATCAATTTTTTTTTTAAATTACCCATATGGATACTCTCTCAACCATAATCAAGTAGAAAAGGGAGAGAGGGTGTTAAAAAAATGATTATGGTGTTTTAGGAAAAATATGTCACTTTTCTTAATTAACTAATTTACCTAACTTTCTTAATCTAATCAAATTAGCTAAATGAGTCTTATATTAAGGACGGAGGAGTATTATAATAATGTGCCGGGTTGTAATAAAAATAATAATAATAATATGCTAGGTTTGATGATCACGGTTCATACCCTGCACAGGGCTAGCTTTATCATGAAAAGAGACGGTTGAGATTCGGATGCCGGTGGAATTGGGAGATTGAAGGAGGGTTTTAGTAGAATATGAAAGGTATGTTTTATATTCCTTCAGTTCTTAATATAAGATCTATTAACTAATTTGATTAGATTAAGAAAGCTAAATAAGTTAGTTAATTATAAGAAATGTGACATATTATTATAAGAATTGCGACACATTTTTTCTAAAACACTATAATCATCTTTCTTAATACACCATCTCTCTTTTCTACTTGATTATGGTTGAGGGAGTATCCATAGAAATTTAGAGGAAATTGATAAATATGAAAAATGGGTCTTATATTTAGAACCAAAACTAACTCAATAATTAGGTTCTATATTAAGGACCGGAGAAGTAATATCTATATATATATGGCCATCAATTTTATAATATATATAATATACTATAATGTGAAATATTACCTTCAATTTTAAATATAAGACTCAGTTCATAGTATAAATTACACTATAAAGCAAATCTTATATTTAATATAAGATATGCAGTCGGCATTTAATGGTGTGCATTCCCATGAAAGTGAGTGGGTCTAATAGAGAAATTGTAATTTGTAGCATTTAGTTTAAAATATTTATGTAGATAGATTTTAAATTTTAATGAGATTTTTTTAATTGCAACTGTTTGTGTTAAAATTATCAATATTTGGCAGCATATAAAATCTTGAAAGGTGAAACAAGCTTAAAGGCAAAATAAGGAGGAAAGAAAAAGAAGTGATGGCAAAGAAAAGAACACGGTTTCTATAAGTATTTACTACTCATATTGATAATATAATATTTACCTTTTTTATTTAACTATTGTGTTTTTTAAAAGCACGTATTAGTTGAATAAAAAATCAGTTTAAATTTCTGAAACAAAAAAAAAAAAGCTACAAAACACAAGACAGCATGGAAGCTCCTAGGCTCCTAGCTTAAGTTGCGTCTTATCTTTACAGAGAAATAATATCTCATTCTCTGTAAATTTTAAATTTTGAAATAGAAATTCAAGCAAGCCAATTCAACGATCACTAATAATTACAGAGTTCTTTAAATTTCAGAGCAGCCCTTTTTTTGGCATAAAGAATTTCACAACAACCTTATGAACGTTTGTTTACAAGATTACCTCCATGTGCACAATCACAACACTATTTTTTTATATCCGTTATTTAATTTTCTATTTTTAAAAAGTCTGCTTCCTTTCATGGTTTTATATTCCATTTGTAGTTAAAAGCAAAACTAATGGCCTAAGCAAAGAATATATACTGAAGTAAGAAGATATTGTTAGTTTGTCACTGAACATTCTGGAAGGAATTAAACATTAAATAAATATTATTTCAATATTTTATTTCTTCTGACTTTAAGTTAAATCGATCTGACAATGATATAACTATTTAAACACTTGGAAGAATTTGTTTATTTTTCTATCATTTTTAATGGGATTTAACTATTTGAACTTGTCCAGTGGGAAGTCGCCAATCTTGCATTATATCGCACGACATATCTTCCATGCTTCATTAATTTAATTGGTTCACTGTCACTACATCAGATAACTCATTATTTTATATGATCACCAATTTTTCTTCTTGTTCTATTTACTCAGTCATGTAATTATAGTTTATATTAATGTCATTTTTGACTTTTCATAAAAAAAGAAAGAAAGAAAGAAAAATTATTTGCTCCTCCCAACTCCCCCGTCCCTCCAAGTCTCTAGACTAGGTATCATCTCAATGCTTTACATCAAGTCTAAAATAGGCTGCGCTTTTCATGATTCGGGATAATGTGATTTGATGAATATTGATTTCTTATATATTCTATTATGTATAAAATATATTTTTTGCCATATATAAATATTGATATATTGATGTTTCCTTTCTCAGGTCCCGGCAAACTACTTCAAGGCCACTGCAGCATTAATACATGCTCAATCATTGTTTGTTCTCATTGTTCAAGTTTGCTTGGGCTTGTTGCGTGCCACTGCCCACTTTTCATTATGAGAATATAGGTAGAAGGAACGAAGAGAAATGGACTTTAGAAGTAGACTTGGTACATAGAAAAGTAAGTAAAATCCAAGAAACAAAATATCAGACTACATACTAAACCAATTAGAATAGTGGTTCAAAGACTCAGTAAATCAACTCAAAATTAAATTAGTCATATTAAAATAATATAATTTAATTAAAAATAACAAAATATAACATTAACAATTACTAATAACAAAATATAAAGAAATACAACAATAATTTGATAAAAATATAATATTGAGAATTTTGGTCTTCACAATTTCTCAATAACTAAAATTAATAATTATTAATATCAAAATTACTATTAAAAACTGAATAAAAAAATAAAAACAATAACAACATAACTATCCAAACCAATTCATCACCAATTTTTATCAATTTACTCCAATTTAATCAAGTTGACACTAATTCAATTACTAGCCAGCTTATTACTTAAACCAAACTGAACGTTTACTGGTTTTCTGATTAAACCGGTTAGTTCAATCTAATTTTTTTCTTTCACCGGTAAAATCTTACTCCTTTTTTTTTTGGGCTTGTTTATGCGTGTTTGAGGATATTGTGTGTCAGACATGGAATAGACATGCATGGGAGAAGAGTGAGGGAGGGAGAGAACTTTTTTTTTGTTCGTTTCGTTGACAGAGGGAGAAAGCTAAACGACTTAAAAGTGTGAAAATCTGAAGGGGTTTGAGTTTGGTGGAGGGTGAGAACAAATCTGAACAGAAGGACTGAATTGCAAGGATTTTAAGGGCTTGGATCCCCTGCAGCGAGTCATATGTGCAGCGTAAGAGTGCAAGAGAACTCACCAACGGCTCCATGAAAAGGCTCGATGATTAAGCATTATATAATCCCCATCTTCACAGACCATAGGGCGGTAATTGCAGAAGCGGCAGTTATGATAACAGTTTTCAGAAAAGGGATGGCGCATTGAATTAGTTTCCATGAGAGTTACAAACATTGCAGCCAAACCCAAATATAAAGCTCAGGTATCACATATCCCCCATCATGAAAACAAATTTCTACAACAGCTTTAGCCACTGAGTCCTACTACACCACAGAAGATAAACACAAAACCAATTTATCTCTCAAGAGATTCTGTTTTTCTTATATCGAAAAAGCCCAAAAAAAAAAAAGCTAGATAATATTCACCCCTGCATCCAGAATTACTCCCACAATAAGACTCCGAAAGAGCATCAGGCCTGTTGTGATAGAAAAATCAGGTAAGAATCACCACATGGCACATTTAAATGTTAACTAGTCAAGGTGAAGATCACATGCAAGCATAGAGGCATACAGCATGAACTTTGCCACCACTCTAAACTAACGAAATATCCAAAACCCTCCATCCATCATTAAGCATTGTTTTTAATCAATATTGCGGAGGGAAGGAATAGTAGCTACCTTGTTGGCTATATTGTTGGAAAGCCAATCCAAACCCTCATAAAGGCCTTCCCCAGAAGTTGCACAGGTGCTCTGGATATACCTGGAAAGATCGTAAAACAATAGTCCTGATCAGGATCGCTAATCCTATTAATGATAAATGACAATAAGGTGGTCAAATTCTTTACCAGTGGCGCTGCCTGAGAGAGTGGAGACCCAGCTTATCAGTGATCTCAGCAGCATTCATTGCATTGGGAAGATCTTGTTTGTTAGCAAATACAAGCAATACTGCATCTCTGAGTTCATCCTGAAAGATAATTAAAGGAAATAAAACATTTTAAACTTCCCCCATAATCAACAGAAAACCACTCAGAGCAAGCTAACATCAATTGCTAGACTAATGTATTAACAACATGGAGTCACATCACAGTAGGTAAAGGTAAATGCTGACAGAGGTACCTCATTCAACATTCTGTGCAACTCATCTCTTGCTTCAACGACTCTGTCCCTATCATTGCTGTCCACAACAAATATAAGGCCCTGTGTATTCTGGAAGTAATGCCTCCACAAGGGACGAATCTGCAAAACATTAAATGAAAAAAATAAATATCAAGCCATCAGCCTCCAGGACAAGAATATTTAAAAACGGTAAAAATTTTGTATTGTTTGGCAGTGAGATAGAAGTGGCCTACGTATCATGCACATCTATCAATATAAAAAAGAATGAAGAGGGATCAAAGTTTACACCTTGTCCTGACCACCAAC